AGGAGTTCGAGACCAGCCTGACCAACATGGTGAAACTATAAATAAATACTATAAATAAATACAAAATTATACTTTTTGTATGTTTATAATTTTGTATTTATTTATAGTAGATACAGTAAATACTATATTAGTATTTACTAGATTAGCCAGCTGTGGTGGTGCATGCCTGTAGTCCCAGCTACTTGGGAGGCAGGAGAATCACTTGAACCCAGGAGGTGGAGGTTGCAGTGAACCGAGATTGCGCCATTGCACTCCAGCCTGGGCAACAAGAGAAAAATTCCATCTAAAAAAAAAAGTTATTGTTTAGAGGAGCAAAATTATAAGCCTACCTAGACATCTTGTAAAGCTGTTCAAAAAGTAACTCAGTGAGGTTTGTGCATGAAAAGTGAGGTTTCTGCATGGAAATGTGGTGCCCAAGTCATATTCTGCTCTAAAAGAATGTAACAAATACAGACGAGTTGAAAAGAAAAAACATAGAGATTTTCAGTACAATTAGGTTCTATGATATCTAGTCAGAAAGACATTCTTAATTCTCAGTTTTCCGAATGTATCTAAATTTACTCAACTATCTTCTTTAAAGTATATACCATAAATTAAGTGTTTTTACAATAACAAACTTCATGATGAAGGAACAATGTTCTATAATAATTGCTCACCCATAGTGTATTTTCTGAGTTTTGTTTTCTTAGACCAGGTCTCCTCAGGTGTGGCACATGGGCATCATGGAACTATTGCATGCTCCCTGTGGGCATGAGGTACCTGCCTATCTAAATCAGAAGGACCTCTTTTTCATTCCTTTAGCTTCTGCTCATGGATTCAGAACCATTCCTGGGCCAAGGAAGAACACTCTGATTTTGAAATTCTGTAGAATCAGAGAGCTGCTGCAGGAATGGCAGAAGGAGGGGCACAGGCAATCATAAATCAGAGAAAGATGTTGGTCCTGAAGAAAGAGCCACTAACCCTGGAGAGAGAGCCGCCTTGATGCATTGATGACTGATAAGCCGACAACAGTTGGAGATGACAGTAAGTCTAGCAATGTTCAAAGAGTGGGTGGGAAGAACATGGTTAAATCATCCAGAATAGCCACAGCAGCGAAAGCAGTTGAGAGAAAGTCCGCATTGGATGGGATTCAAATACCATCTGGGGGTTTCATTATATACGGTAGAGAGAAGCACTTTGAAATGTGCTCTGTTTATCTTTCTTCCAGCAAAAGTCTCAACCATTGAAACTCTGAGCTTCTTTGGAGTCAGTGTCATTAGCCAGACATCCCCAGTGAAATCCAAACCCTACACTTCCTGCTGCCTGTTCATTTCTCACACACAGTCCATTCTCCAGAAGTCTTTTATACAGCCTGACAGTGTGAAAGGATACATTCCTAACTGATCACGAAGAATCCCATGCAAGCCCTTAAAGACAAAAATGCACAGCATGGAAAAGGAAAAGATTAAAAGAACTTTTTAAATAAAGCAAAGAAAGAAATTATATGCAGAAAAGTTTCTAGACATTCTCTAAGTGTCCTTTTACAGACCTAGGCCACATTAGTCTTCCCAAAACATTGTTTCACCATGCCATTTCTTTATTCACAGGCAAGTAGTGGTTCAAGCACTTGAGTTTAGGATACTGTTATGGATTAAATTGTATCCATTCCAAATTCATGTTTAAGCCCCAACCCCTACTGTGACTATAATTGAAGACAGAGCCTTTAAGGAGGTAATTAAGGTCAAATGAAGCCATAAGGGTGGAGCCTTATTCCAGTGGGACTGGTTTTTTTAATATACAAGAAAAAGAAGAGACACCAGAGTTCTTTTTGTCTCCACATGCACACAAAAGAAAAACTATGTGTGAACACAGCAAGGAGGTGGCTGTCTGTAAGCCAAAAAGGGAGGCCTCACCAGAAACTAATCCTGCTGGCACCTTGATCTTGGACATCCAGCCTCCAGAACTGTGAGAAAATCAACTTCTGTTGTTTCTGCTGTTTAATACTCAGTCTATGGTATTTTGTTATGGCTGACTGAGAAAACTAATACATATAGTATATGGGGTCTACCATATACTTTTAAACAATCTTTCCAGTCACATCTATGTCTTCCAATTTCTCTGTCCATGGGGCACCTATTTCATATACTTTATGGATTCTAACGCCCATATCTACACGTGTGGTGCCCCTCATCCTTGCTAATGCTTTTTCTGCATGAGGTGTTGAATCTCCTTCATTTCTCGAGTTCCTTCAGAGTTCCTGACTGATTCCTCTGCAGAGCCTTGTCTGTCACCCTAGGTGAGCACTGTGCTCCACTTTTCTAAACTGAGAGTCCTGCCTTCACTACTAATTTTACCTTTATCACATTCTATCAGTACTTCTCTCAGAGGAATATCAGCTTCCCTATCATATAACTTTTCCTTATTTAAAAAAATCTGTACTCATAATATAGAACACAAAGAAAAACATGGAAGAAAGAAAAATAAAGGTCCCCCATACCATGACCATCTAATAAAATCATTATAGTCTTTTACTATATCTGCGTATAGTTATGTGCAGAACTTAACTTCACATGCTTTACATAATGCTTCTTTCACTAAGTATATCTTTAACATCTTCATTATTATTTCAAAAAGGTTATTTTGAGATATTGTATTCCATCCTAGTGCTATAACTCATTTAACCAACTCCCTATTGATGAGGTTTTAAATTATTAATAATCTAGCTCTGTTAGAAATAGGCTTGCAATAAATATTNCTGCATATGTATCTATCCAACAGAAATGCAATGTGAGCAAAAAATGTGAGATTCATATGTAATTTTAAGTTTTCTGGAAGCAATATTTTTGTTTTTTTTTGAGACACAGTCTCGCTCTGTAGCCCAGGCTGGAGTGCAGTGGCACAATCTTGGCTCACTGCAGCCTCCGCCTCCCGGGTTCAAGCAATTCCTTGCCTCAGCCTCCAGAGTAGCTAGGATTACAGGCGCGTGCCACCACATCCAGCTAATTTTTGTATTTTTAGTAGAGACAGGGTTTTACTATGTGGCCAGGCTGGTCTCAAACTCCTGACCTCGTGATCCACCTACCTCAGCCTCCCAAAGTGCTGGGATTACAGGCATGAGCCACCATGCCCGGCCTATAAATATTCTTAATAAATAATTGTTGCATAGGTTCATGAAAATATCCTTGGGATCAAGTTCTACACATCACTTTCTTATGATATGTACAGTCAAATTGTCTTCCAAAGAGTTCCCATTTCTCTACGTTCCTTTCCAGAGTGCCCATTTCTCTACATTCCCAAGTAAACCTTGGATATATTTTTTAAAGCTTTATCAGTTTGAAATATTAATTTAAGGAGACCACAGACTCCACTGCTACTTACTACTATTGATGTTAAGTTGTCAATTATACAGCATCCTTAAGTTTACAAAAATATTTCCACAGACATAAATTAGAAACATAATTCACAACATCTAGCATAGGGCTCTTCATATATAAATATCATAATAAATTACATGATCATGGACTAAAAGTTATGAAATGCCTTTTATATGCTACACCGAGAGTCACATAAATCAAAAAGTCATCCCCCAGTTAGATATAGATATAAGTAATCTTTGTCAATTATTGCAAGTTTTTGCCACTCTGAATCTAATAGGCTGCCTTCCCCCATTGTCTCTGCTCTACCCATTTACCCATTTATTAATCATGGTGTATTCTCTCAGAAATTTATGAGTTCTAGGTGCAATAGTTAAGTGCATTTTAACACATGGCATCTACAACATGAACTCTGATTTTTTAAGAAACAAGCAAGGAAAAGATATTTAAGCTTGGTTATAGTGCTTTTTCTAGGTAGCTCTCTTCTGAAAAAGCTTTCACTATCTTTTTTAAAAAATCACTTTCTTTTTTTCCCTACATATATGAAGATCTTTCACTTGTAATCCTAATTTTGAGTATACATTTTCTACATTTTAATCTCTTACTTCTCAAGTACAACAAATTGGCTGGTCATCTTCTGGTATGAAATCACTCTCACCATTCTTATTTAAATGCCCTGTCAAAGAAGAGTGGTCTCCGTTACACTTTGAAACTGGATTAATGTCCAGGGACAGGACCCTCTCAGATGGCCCTGCTACGGTAGATGCCATCACCAGCCTCCATGAACTTCTCCAAGCCAGTCTATTATACCGTCTTGCCTTTCCACATCCCAAACCACTAACAACATCTCTACATGACTTTCATCTGTCCCAGAAAAATTCATGAAAACAGTTCACAAAATTAAAAAGACAAGCTACTATTTAAGACATCACTGCAACAGATAAGATTTTTAAAAAGACTACTCAAATTATTATTTGCCTAAATTCTTCATTTAAAAAATTAAGAAAAAAATGTCAGAATTTTATCCCTGAAATTACAAACCAAAAATGAACTGTTACTCCTCTTTTCCTTAGTCAATATTTTAACTTTGGGAAGTGGGAATTCTGACAGCTCTAGGTCTTTGGGTATTAAGAATATGATAGGCTTTCTTGAATGAGTACCATTGTTTTTCTTAAATAGAACATATCTAGTAAATGATTCATGATGGGTGAAAAATATCACTCTTGTGAACTGGATTTAAAATGGATGAGAACACATGCCACTGCACTCCAGCCTGGGTGACAGGGCAAGACTCTGTCTCAATAATAATAATAATAATAATAATAAATAAAATGGATGAGGAAAATTATTTTAAAGTTTAGATTTTACTCTTTGGTAGGAGTGGGTTGAACTGGCACTGTTCTCTGCTGGATAAGTGTCATATTCAGATTCACATATATGTCTGACAGCACTGAACTTCACTTTGTCACACATATAAGCTCATTCAATCATGAGACCAATCCTATGAGGAAAGTACTGCTACTATTTAATGGACAAGCAAATGAAGTTCATAGAAGTAAAATAATTTGTTTGACTAAACAATCTAGAAATATCAGAGCTGGGATTTGAACCCAGGCCTATCAAACACTCTTTTCATACTAGATTTACCTCTGAAATAGTTTTACCCCAGGCATAAGTGCCATCTTCAGGTCTGCCTCCATTTAGATAAATCCACACTCGTTTTGTGTTCGGCTGCTTATACAGGCTGCTCGGCTTGACTGCTATATGTTTAGTTGCAATTGGAAAATTTCTTTTGGATTCCATTTCTTGAACTTCAGAAAGGTGCGCCTGTCCAGAAAAGCCCAGAGAATGTTATGTTTAGAGAACTGTCTGTATAGTGTTTGCAAAGAATGTGATAAAATCCAGAAGCATCTTGTAATTAATAAATTACATGGAAAAGTATTTTAGAAAGTAACTATTAAGTACATTAGCCTTTTTGTCACTGACTCTAGTAAATTCCCCTTGCTTCAATGAAACACTAAAGACAATAATAATCATTAGAAGAAGAATAATAAGGCACTCATTTTGGCAAAGCACTTAACTCTCATTTATAATGTGAAGAAATAAAGAGAGATGTGTTTTTGGACTTTTGCATGATGTTTCTCCTACTGAGAGATTTCTCTGTATCTAACAAATTAGTTTTTTATTGGAATCACATCATTTCCTCTAACCAAGAAATGCATACAGGGGTATACATGAGTGTTGTTGCAGTCCTTACTTGCTATCTTTTAAAATACAGCAGCCACCCTTATACTTTGCCAGATCCCTGACAGGCAGATTTTTATTCTGCTTCAAGCATGTCCTAGTTCAATGCTTTGCATTCATTCCCTGGTCAGTGATTTATCCTTCTCAGCTTGGCACGAAGTCATATTTCTAGGGATGTCAATTCCTTTTGTTCTAGTAACCTTGACTTGGGCACGTGCCTAAGATTTAGATTGAACACATTTCACGAATTTGAGAAATCTTATTAAATAGGAACATATCATTTTGATGAAAAACTTCACAAAGCAAAAAAGTTTTCCCTGGTCTCTCTCTCCAGTCCTCTCTCAACAGCTGACCTTTATCTTTTCGACTTTTTTATGTCTGGCAATCCTGACTGATTAACCAATTGGACTGAAACCACTTTTTAAATTCTTCACTTCTGAATGTCTCCATTGCAATTAGTATTTTGCTCCTTGCTCTTTTTACATATTAAGACATGCCCTTAGGAGTAATGAGCAATGAAGTCGGAAGGCTCAACTTGACTACAATTATTACAATTACCTTTGTACATATCCACTGGGCCTTTTTCTCTTCTTTGCTAAGGTCATAATTTCTGATCTCCGTTCAAACAAAACAGGCCCTTATATGAGCTGGCTGTCTTTTAGACAGCTACTCTCCAAATGCCAACTCAATGCTTGGCATATGCTTATATGATCATAACTGATCAGATGCTGAGAATATATTAACAGCATCATTTAAAAATCTCATATTGTACTTTTAAATACTCATAAAAAGGGCAGAGTATTTAATGTCCAGAATCCCAAAGAGCATACCTCTGTATTTCTTATAAGTTCCATGAGTTTAATTTCCTCTTGAGTCTTTTTGGTCCATCCTCCTTCAACCACCACCGGCTGCACAGGGCTTTTGGTAGGAACCATGGTGGCGGGCTGACATGCCACTACTCGCCGCCCTGGGGAAACAAGTCTCTAGAAATTTTGTTTCTGATGATAGGCTTTCAGATTTCAAATAAGTTTGTTTGGCTTTCTATGCATAAATCATTCCACACAGGAGCATAGGCTAAAATACTAAATATATCATAAAAGCAAAGATGCCCAAGGTAATAATATCTAACAATGCCTCTTCAGATGGGAGCTTCAGGCTTTAAATGGCTAGGATTCTCATACCTACTCTACAGATGGAAGAGGAAGATAACATGCTGATTTCCTCACTGGCCTCAGCCTCGCATCCATGATATGGTTCAGCGGTAATTTAGTCACATAGAATTCATGACCTTATATAGCCCCTATCATCCTTCTAGTCTTGGAACATATGCTTTATTCTCTTCACTAATAATAAGCTTTTCCCCCACAATTAGCTTAGCAGTGTGGGGATTAAGTATTTCTAAAATAATATTAACCCAAGAGACGGGAACTTTTTTTTTCTATCTAATAATACCCTGCGAGCATGATTAGTTTCTGACACCTCTGCTGTGCCCTTTATGCTGTTAGAAAGCTGTAGTAAGAGAAAATATTTATTGAAATACTGTATTCTAAAGAATCACAGGAATGATTTAATAAATGTGATGATTCCAATTCATGTGTTCTTTCAACTAGACCACTTAAAATAATTATGAAAGAGGTTTAAAAAGTCACACTTATGAAATTGTTTTCTTTTTCTGTGTTGAAGATATACTCAGCTCACATTTCATACCGATCTCTAAACTTAAGTAAAAATAATGCTTTCTCTTGCATCTTCTTTCCAGAAACCTATATTGAGCAACAGCTATGGGTGAGGTGTTATGTTGGATAATACAAACATGTTGGAGAATGAGTTCCTGCCTCAGGTTTGGTAGGGAAGGCAGACATCAAGGAAATGACTACGCCAATAGTTGACTGCAACTGGGAGTTGCTAACCTAGTCTGAGGCATCACAGAAGATTTCTTAGAGAGAGTAACATCTAGGTTCATAAAACAATAGAACTACTAAAATGAAATTGAGTTTCAATTTTGTTGCCAACATAATCTTAATGTGCAGATTTTCAGAGTATAGATCAAACAAAACTCTTTGAAAATAATCTGGTACTTGTAGAGGATAAAGCATTTGTGTTCCTCTAGCTCAACTTTATGGAAATAGATCCAGCACTAAAAATAAACGGCAACAATGACTTTTCAGGGAAACCAGAACTCTATGTCCCTAATAAGGATTCATATGTAATTTATGGATGTGAAGAAAACATCATTGAATCAATCAGTCAATGAGTTACAGTGACAATGCCATTAAGCAATGCACTTTGGAGAAGACCATGGTGGCACCTCACAAATACATAATACAAATTTATACTAAATATAGTTTTCATACAACTCTACTTATAGAGTGCACATAACATTAATTTATGACCCATACATTTTTATAAATAACATTTCAACAAATATTTTATTTATAATGCATTTTGAACACTAAAATTTTGCTCAACTACAGAGAGTTCAGCAATAGTTTATCATTTACACTGTTGAGAGCTAGAGATTGAGTACAGAAAACAGGCAAAAACATTATGCATTTTTTGTCAACTTGCTTCTAATGGTCATAAGAAAATTAATGCATTTGCACTATAGTTTTCATAAAGAGACATAATGTCATCACAAAGGGTTTTAGTTTGAGGAAAGGTTTTTATGATAAGCTATTATTTACATGGGTATGAATAACAAAAATTGAAATCAAACAATGATGTATGGAATGAATTATTTTTCATTTTTTATTACATTTCCCACATATCCTATTTTACTTCACATGAGATCAGGTGATAATAATTATAATAGCTATCTATTTATTAATGAGGCATGCCTCTTCTCTAGTCCTATTGTTTCATTTTGAGGATGGAGCCGCACTGATATTGCAGATTATTTTTCTGATTGGAAATTGGGGAAAATAACTGGGGATTCTTGGCCCATTTTTTATCTTAGAAACTAGAAAACACAAATGCTTTGCTGTTCTTTCATGCGATGAGTCTTGCCCAGGCAGCTCTCCCCATTTCCTGTCTTATTGGGAGGCCCACCCTCATTCAGAATCACCTGTGTCTGCAAGGGTAAGCCCACCCAATTTGAGTTTCAGTTAGCAGACTTATTTAGCTTTCACACTAAATTAAATGCTCCAACATTACCTTTACATGTAACACTGGTGATGATTTAGCAGGATCTGCCATTCCCGTGTTTTATTTATTTATCAGTTTTATAACCCCAAGTGGGTAAATGAGTTGCCTTTTCAGGAACCCTTACTCCAATATTTATTGAATATTTATTATATATTAACCATGTAGTAAAGATTTGACATTTGTTACTTAATCATGAAAACCCTACAAAGTAATTACTAGAATTATGTTTAATATTAGCAATGTTTATGCTTAGCAATGAAACATAAAATCAGCTTAGCACAGTGTTTTGTACATAGGATATGCTCAATAAATACTTGTATTTACCAATGGCTATGACAACATAATTAGCAATTATTCATACCTCCTGTTTTACCCAACACTCAGGAAGCTCACAATCTTACAGGTCCTGCAGTTAACTGAGCTAAGACTTGTTCTTATTTATCCTCATAATCTCACCAGCTAGAAAAAGGCTTTCATGAGAGTAAATGTTTTATAAGCATGTGTTGAATTTATATTTAATAGCAGAAAACATACCAGTTTGTCAATAGTGACAAGATTTATGTTAGCATTAAATTCTAAGTGAAACCACATCAATGGATCCCTCCAGAATGGATATAACTGACAAAATACAGAATTTCAAACAGTGGTATTGTAGATGATGACAAATTAACTTTAAAAATTTTAAATACTTAATTGCAATAAAAACTGAAGACAATATAAAATCAGAATTTAATAAAGGTAGCCATGCCAGGTGCTATTTTCAGTATTTAACTTGACACAGTAATAGAACTAGAAAAACACCCTAGAATGAATGGTTGAAATTCCATTTATTCTTTACATCAGTCATTCTACAACTATTCAGAGAACAAAAGAGAAGGGTACAGAATTTATAACCTAACATTATAAGACTGTCACATAAACAAGTAATCATAATAATGTGATGAGGACTATCAGAGGGGAAGTTCAGAGTGTGATAAACTACAATACCCTAAGCTTGGAATGCTGAGGGAGGCTTCTGGGAAGAAGTGACAAGTAACCTAAAAAGACACAGAATGAGTAGGAGCAACCTAAGAGGACAGGATAGGGAAAACTTTGAGGTAGAGGGAACTAAAATGTGCCAAAAAGCTCAGAGTTAAGCAAGTGTATGGTATGTCTGGGGAGCTAAAAGAAAGTTAAAATGTGTGAAGTGTAGTGGGCAAGGAACTTACAGAGAACAAGATTATAAAGGGCCACCCTAAGCAGTTTCAACTTTGTCCTAAAGATAATAGGAAGCCTTGCAAGATTTTATGCCTAGAATATCATAATACCTTTGCATTTTTGCATAATCATTTCAACTTCAGAATGTCACCATTACTTATAGAATGGAAACCACTGTCAAGATGTGAAGCAGGGGGAACAGTTAGAAAACTGTTCTGGTGGTCCAAGGAATATAGATGATGGTAGCTTGAACATGGATAGTGACATATAGGCTGAGAGAGTTAGAATCATTTGAGATCAACTTCACAGATTCAAAGTAACAAGGCTTATTGAATATTTGCTTGGGGAAGGGTAAGAGAGGGGGAGATGCCAATAACGACATCCAGGGATTTGAGGAGTAACAACTGGGTAGATGGTAGTAGAATCTACTACCAGCAGAAACAAAGGAGGCATTGGTGCTGGGGGAATATGACAGCTGAAGTTTTGGACATGTCCACAGAACATTCAAGTGAAAATGTCTAGTAGGAGTAGTATAGGAAAGTAGTAGTAATATTTTTCACTTACACTCAATCCTTCTTTTGGTAAGAACTGGATAATAGTTATTTCAAACCACGGTTCAGTCTAATGCAGTTAGGACTAGTTGTGCTATTTATTGAAGCAAGATTCATACGCTTTTAACACAAGACAGCAACAGGAGTTGAAATTCTGCTATGGCAATTACTGAGCTTGAAATGTGCTCCTTCCTAGACTCAAGTACTTAGTACAATGTTTCTCCCCAAAGAATCATTTGTATCTCAAGTCCTGGGAGTAGTATAACGTCAGAAACCTAAGATTCCGTGATAAGAAGAATGGAAGAAGGAGACCAATATTGATCACTTTGACGGTGAATAGCATGTCTCATGCTGTATAAAAAGGAGGAGTCATTTTAAGTTACTGACACTGACTTTTGAAGATTTTAGTACTTTCTCATTCAGATGTAAAAAATTAAAAACAAACAAACAAACAAAAAAAAACCTTCCCCAGCAATACCGAAGGAATGATAGCAAGGTTTGTTTAAATATTAATTCCAAAGCCCACAAACTGTCCATTGAGGGATTATTTCAAAAACAATGGGGTAGTTTCTCTTGCTCAGATAACCTCCTAATTTTTAAAATGTATGCATAAGCCATTTAATATTCATTTTCATATAAAATTTACAAATATAATATCAGAACAAAAAAGATATATTATTAGGTTTTAGACTTTACTCAAATGATTTATGTAAAACAGTATTTATAAAATACTCATTAGTTAAATATCTGATATCTAATGGTAGAAAATAACCATTAGCAATTTGAGGTTACATTTTGAATTAAATATGGCTATGTTTGATACAGCTCACACTGACCTTTTAACTGTCTCATTTTGTGTCTCATGGTGTTTAGATCAGCCAAAATTCTGTCCTTTTTAAGCCAGTTCTGTTTCTCTAATTTTTTTGCTTTCTGCAAAGCTAGAATAATAAAAATACAAGATATTTTATCAACAGTAATTTATCATTCACACCAATAATTTATAAAGAACTTTCTGCTCAAACAAATAGATTCAATTAGAAACAAGTAATTAAAAGGTAAGGGTCATTAAAAGAAACCTCATTTGAAAGATGACAGGGCTTAAGGCGTTTCTTTATGGAGTGGAGGGGTAAAAAAAGAAAAAGAACAATGCTGTTTTATTGTATAGATTTACCATATGCAATAGCCATATTTCATTTTCCACTTCCATAAACTATTTGGAGGTGATGAAAGCCTGGCTTGGAACCATTCATTTTTTAAACATCCACCTACTGCCTAAAGGGTGCAATTCTTAAAAATGAAAACGTGCAGACAGGTCGTCCTCAGTGTGAATTAAACTCATTTGTTATTTTCTAATGTATACCATTATTCTCAGTCTTATAGACCAAGGATCTCTTTATCAAGTAAATTAGACATTTTTCCACACAGAATACTCCATTCTAGTATGAAAAAAACAGGCAAATGTGCAAATATGAAAGCATTGCTATCCTTGTGCACATATTAATTGATGAACGTTCTATTCTTTGTATAAACGTGATGTTATTATGTTGATATTATACACATTTAATTCATTTTCTTATGATGGCATAAAATGTATTTCTCTCTTCCTTCACACACTTGCTTGAAAGAAAGTAAAAACTAAACACTCACCACTTGGAAGTAGAAATGGTTCACCACAAGATACCCAGATGGCAATAGGATTTCTGAGGATGAGGGTAAGCAAAGACTCATCTATATCATCCAAACTATCAGATGTCACAGATTTTGGAAATAATCTGTTTTTCACTTTCATTCTTGGGTTTTCTGGTGGAAAAATGACACATTTATCATTGTTCAATAAACAATGAATAAATTTGCTTTCTGAATTTGTTTATTCAAAATATTTTTTTATTCATTAGTGACTTAACTTGAGTTAAACAGGCAATGCCAGAATTGGAGGCTGATGTATAAATTTGGTCAGAAACTTCATATACAACCAAAAAAATTAAACTAATAAGTACCTATGCAACAATCTTACATGTTCTTCACATGTACCCCAAAACCTAAACTGTAATTAAAAAAAAAAGAAAGCGAAAAGATTGTAAATATATGTTTTAATTTATTTCTGACACATCATCTTGTTCTGAAAGAAATTTGAGGTGGCTTACCAAAATACCTACTCCGAAATGGAAAAAAAACAGATAAGAAAATCAAGTACAGGGAAAAAGGTATATGGGAATAGACTAAAGGCAGGAATAAGGTACCTCAGTGTTCTTATATTTTAAATGAATATTAATATCTCATTCTGCTGTTTCTTTTTTTAAAAGAAAAAACTAACATGCTTAGAGGAAATAGTGTTTGGCCTATTTACTCTGATGACCATCCAATAAATGTTAGATATTATTTTTATTGTTAAACAGATATAAATACCACCCTGTTTTGACTTGCCAGAGATAAAGCAAAATTTGGGCTCTGCGCTTCCTAATGGCCAAAGCAAAGAGAAAAATATAATTTCCAGTTTCATATGGCCCACATGTAGTGAGAAATTTTTTAGAAAATGTACTTTTCCTGATTCGTAGATCTGAGGAAAATTCATTTAAAGGTCCTCATAAAGAGGTTATTCATGATATAGCTAACAATATCCTACAATAGAAAATTAATATATATTGAGAATTTACTGTATACTTGGTATTCTACTAAGGCCTATACACACATAGTCTCATGTGATTCTCAAAATGATACTCTGAGACTCTGAGTTAGGCCTTATTATCAGTCCTCTTTTACAAATATGGTAACTGAGCTTTAGTGACATAGCTGGGTGGTGGCAGAGCCAGGATTAGAATCCAGGCCATCTGCCAATGAAGCCTGTGCTCTTAACCACTGCCTGCATACTAAGCAATATGTTGAATTCTGACCAACAGCTGTTTCTTTAAAGTTCCTTAATGCAAACTGATGGCATAACACCAAGCCACAATTCCATAAAGGGGGCAGCCTACTGATGGCCTTGCCTAATTTAAGAATACCCTTTAGAGTATAAGAAGGAAGAGATGGAATCAAAAGAATACTCTTTTGATAGTCCTACATGAATAACATTACTCTAACCAGGCTTTAAATAAGAATTTAAAGAAGAGTGTTTGAAGTTACAATTTTATAAAACCTGAAGTTCAGATATTCTATATGCCAAATAAAGTCAGAAATATGCTTCAGCAATCAGCTATGCATTAAATGTTCACATAAATATTTCTTAAAATTCATTTGAAGACAAAATAAGTAATGTCCTATACACAAACATGGTAAGTAATTTCACTGAATGTTTAGTAAGTATCAACCAGGCACTGTTCTAAGTTATGTGTGTGTGTGTGTGTGTGTGTGTGTGTGTGTGTACATAAATATAAATACATACACACATGCATATATATTCTTATGAGTATACAGTCACACTTATGAGGATGGAATGAATATATTCATGATGACCAGATAAATACAAATATTGAAAATATAGATTTATTTGTGAAATATAGATATATTTGCTCTGGTTTGAATGTATCATCTCCAAAACTATGGTGTTAAACTTAATGGCCAATGTAATGATATTAAGGGAGACAGAAACTTTAAGATGTGATTAGATCATAAGAGCTCTTTTTCTTGGGAATGGAATTAAGGCCCTTGTGAAAGAGGCTTCATGCAGTGCTGGGCTCTTTTGCCCTTTCTACTTTCCATTGTGTGAGGACAAAGCATTCTTCCCCTATAGAGAATGTAACCCTCACCGGACAACCAGATCTACCATTGTCTTGGTCTTGGACTTCCCAACCTCCAGAATTGTGAGAAACAAAGTTTTGTTCTTTATAAATTAACCAGTCTGTGGCATTCTGTTACAGCAACACTAATGGACTAAGACAGTGTTATATATATAATGGAGACATATTAAATATATATATATACACACACATATGTATATACACACACACATATATATGTATATGTATATGTGTGCGTGTATATATATCCATGAAGTAATTGGTTATTTACAAATAGTAAAATATATAAAGTTTATGTAAAAATTTAAAATAGTAAAATATAGGTAAAAACGTATCCCAGCTTTATAAATAAGAAAATTGGAATATAAGAGTAGTTAAAATGCTTACCCAAAACCATTGAGCTAGCAAGTGACAAAGCTGGGATTTGAATCCAGGTATTCTGGCTCCAAAACCCAAGTTCTTAACTTCTAAATTATGCCTCTCAATACAACCGTGGAAATCTTATACTGAGAAAACTCTACTGAATCACTACTACCAAGACTTGCTTTTATTTAGCAGTGTTGTTTGGGACTCACACAGTCACTGCCCTCAAACTGCAAATAGTCTAATAAGACCACACAGCTACAAACAGATTATTATCATGCAATGTGCCCAAAAATGCAATAGATGGACATTGACTAGAGCTTCTGGGAGATAGTAAAAAGTGACAGAGGTGACAGAGACAGGGCAGGAGAGTTGAAGGATAGTAGAAGCATAGAGAGGACACCTTCTCTTCTAATAGTAGCAAGAGATTTCCATTGATCCAGCCCCAATTTCTTAAGTGGCCTCCAGTTGGTTTTGGTTCTGAGTAAGAACAAAACATGATTATGTTTCATAAAGCTGATTAACTGTCAAACATATTTTATTAATTCTATGTAATTAATTTATTGTTTCAGTGCCAAAATCAAAATTTGCATGAATTTTAAATTTTTCTTATAATTCTGCAAGGTAAAAACAACATGACAATTTCAGTGACACTCTTGGAGTCACAAAAGTAGCTTCCTATGATTTTGAATTCCAAAAAAAGTGGCTAAATGAAATAATCATGTTTAACATTTTCATGATCAAGCACAAATGGAATCAGCTAAATGCTGTATAATGTAGCCAACCTTCCATACTTTCAACCACTATCTGTTCTTTTCCAACAGAAGCCACATCTTGCTTTTGTTTATCGGAGTCTGTCTGGAGAAAGGATTCTTCTAGAGCCCATAAAACCAAATCACGCAAGGTAAAGATTTGGGTTCCATCTTTGGTATATACTTTGGAGGCTGCTCTGGAAAGCCCAAGTTGCTCCGTGCATTCTGTAAGAAGCTAGATAACACAGGCAGTAAGAATCTGATAGGCAAAGGTGAAAGAAATGGGAATAATCATTAAGAGTTTGTCATTCTAAAAGTCTGAAGAAAATCATTGAATTTGAGTAAACAGAAAGCTGAATTACTACTGATCTGGATCTTTGATTAGAGTATTTTCGATATTAGACTGTCCTACCAAATATCACAACATAGTTCAATCCAGCTGTAAATTTCCGAGCTCCAAAAATTTAACACGGCAGCTGACATATATTAATACATTTCAGCATCAGAATATTTTCTAAGAGATGTTCAACTTAAAAATTCACTTTCAATTTCGTTGCTTTATAAGGTATATAATTGTTGTAACTTTATACTGATAAACTGCTTTAAAATAAGTAGTTAACCTTCAAACCAAGAACTGACAGATATTTTTACCTTCCTTTTACAGATTGAAAAACAGGATGAAAGATTGAAAAACAGGATGAAAGATTGAAATTTTTGCCCAAAGGAAAGCTAACTGTGGATCTCTGGGTGAATCTTGGAGTCACTAACATCTGTACTTTGCTTAGTCTATTGAACAACAATACCTAATTTTTAAAACATTATTCTCAACCAAAAAGGTGAGGGAATAGATATGGGTGCTTGCAAGGAAGTCTGCAGGGTAACTCCATATCATGTCAATCATCACTTGTAAAATACATTGTTAAAGGCACTGGCCAGAATAAATAGACAAGAATCACTAAGTAGTGCAAAGACAAAGCTGGTTTTGGGCATTCTGGGTTCTCCTCTCTTCCCATGACTATGGGGAGCAGCTTGAAAGGTAGACCATTTAGTTCCTCCTAACACAACCCCTGATTCCCCAATTTGAAAATGAAATGAAACATCCTATCAACAAATAAATGCCCAGATGTTCCAGATGATGAATGCAATGTGCCCACAAATGCAATACATGGCATCTCTTGGATGATTCAGATGACATGCAACTTGAAGCTGGCATGAGAAACAAGAAAGAAAAGGCATTCAGTCCATCACAAGAAGGAAGAAAATCTAGCACCTTTGTTTTCCTCTCCCTTGTAGATATCTACTCAGGAGCCAATCAAAAACTGTAATGTCATTTCTAATTTTTCTAAGTCTGTATCCACAGACATACAATCAAATAAATGTCATTAAGTAAACAGAGATCTTGATCTCATCAGCTTAAATTGGTGAATCTGGCCAGGGATACTTATCACTCAATCTCACTGCTTTTTCTTCTCAGAAGAATTGCCATTATCATTACCTCTGAAGATGCAAGCAGCATTTAAGTGATAGCCACTTACCATGGGAAATGTTCCAGCCACAATTAACTTCCCATTATGATATTCATCCCCATTTTTGTATGCAATTATTTTCACTGCCTTCTGGCGCATGGCTGCTATGCCACTGTGAGATGCAGCTTGTGTGCAGGTCTTCATCCGTAAAGACAATAGACGTGCTTGGTAATAACTTAGAGTTTTTTCAGCCTCGTCGCACGATAAATCAACCTAATTTATTTTTTAAAATAAATTGAACATTTACTCAAACTTTCTTGTTTTAGTTTGCTATACTTCAGTCTCTTAATTTAATAAATGTGTGTATACATGTGTGATGTCTAAATTTTGCAATGCTCTCTTCATGTGTCACAGATATTGAATACTAGAGTTGGAAGGATATTGGATCCAAATTCCTCAGTTCCCTCTCAGACCTGTCACTGAGTCACTAGGTGATTCTGGGCATCTGGCTTTTGTTTCTGGCATTGTCTTGTTTTTGTTTGTTTGTTTGTGTTTTGCTTTCTCTCTGCCATGGCCAGAGAGAGCTTGAATTAAATTAATAATACACTAACATTATAGACAGCCTCTAAATTTTTAACTTTAGAATGATTCCACCATATGGTGGAAGATGTTTATGAATGAGGAGGGGAATGTGTGTAGCTTTAGCCAGTTGGTAGTAAGGGTGGTGAACACTCTTCCCCTTTTCATCACAACCTAGGACGCTGCCCTGAGGGCAAAGCTCTGTCTGAAATTCTGTAGCATTGGGGATTTTTTCCTACCAGCTCCTCACCACCTCTTTAACATTATCTCACTATCTTCAAAGCAAATCAGACGCCTTCAGGTTTCCCAGAGAACTGACTTCCTTTCTCCTTCAGAGCTATTGCTTCTGCTGATATTTTTTGTAACCCCAATGTGTATCAGGATTCGGAAAGGGAGGGGGGTGATCTGGAGATGGGATGAGCAAGCCCTGAAGAGCACACCAGGCTGGAAGATATTCCACCTTTTAGGAATCACTCCTTTTTTTTTCAGGTGTGGAAGTTCCCTTAGTTATTTTTATTTGTAAAGTTGAAAGGGAGGGTTTTTGTTTTTTTTAATGGTAACACTTTAAGGTTACAGGAAAGTGGTAGAGGTTTTTTTTTCCCCTCCATGAGCTCTAAACACTATTAGACATGGATGTGTGAATTCAGGCACCCAACCTGAACAGTCATTAACAACAACACATCCAATTCCCCCTGAAATGTTCCATACTAGTAAAAAAGAAGTTTTTTCCTGTAGATATAGGCAAAAAGCTATTCCACGAAGTAAAGATTTGCAGTGACTTCCTCACCTAAAAGCAACACTGAGAACAGTGAAATGTGTCAGTAAATGATTAAAGCTGCAGAAGTGCCCAATTAACTTCAAAGAGTGTATTGAACTATTAATAGACAATGCATTTTAAATTACAATGAGGAAGAGGAAATCAATGCAAGTAGAATGGTAAAGGTGCATCTGAGGAAGATGAATTGGATAAGTGGAAATGAACTTGAGTGCAAGGCAGATAATGAATGCATCAAAGTTTCCAAATTGTTGCCATACGTGCATTGGTAGAGCTCAGATCATTACATACCTCAGCCACATTGATGACCTTGAACGGCCCTTGTAAGGAGGGCTTTTGGGTCTTGGAGCCTGAAACACAGAGGAATGTAACCCCTGGAAGCAATTGTTTCAGTCCCTTCTCTGTTCTCATGGATTGTCCACAAGCCAAGCAGAGCATAGTTTTTCTCTTTCCATCGGGTGAGAGATAATAGTATCCCTAAAATGGGAGACAGAGATACCTTTATATAGGAGCATCTAAATTGTTATAGCATTGCTGTAGAACATTTTTCAAAATAAATATAGCACTTTCAACATCCCAAAATGCTAAATTTAAAATCCCAACAGAGGCATTATTTTGTTCCCATATATATGTGTGTATGTGTGTGTGTGTATACACACACACACACACAAATATATGCATGTATGTATGTATGTATGTATGTATGTATATTTTAAAGTATTTCCAAATTCTGTAATGACAATTCAAACCAATGAATATAAACTGTGTGCAAAATCAGTTTCTTGGAGGAATGGCCAGCTCCAGATTTGGGGCAAGAAATACACAAGATAAGCAAGGGATATCTTGTGCCCTGAAAGAAAAGAAGCCATCATCATGTTCAAAAGACATAGGAGCCAGGAGCCTCTACTGCTCCAAAATGGGATAATTATGGAGCAACAAAAAGAATGATAACTAAAACACTTTGAAAATATTTATAAAATCCTATGAGTGTATAATGATACTAACAATATAAGTAAAAACAAATAAACAAAATCCAAGTAAATAAAAACAAAACTATTTCCAATCAGGAAGTAGAATCTCTTTCTCCTTTACTTCTTGCCTTGAATCTGGGAAGGGCCATGAGACTTGATTTAGCCAACATAGCACTAGCAAATGTGATGCAAGCAGATGCATAAGAAGTGCTTTCACAATGGAGCTTGTTCTTTTTTGGCTGCCATTGAAACCCTGAGACTACAATGTGAACCGACTTGAGGTAACCTGCTGGAGAAGACATGTAGTCCAAGAACCAATTTTCCCAGCTAACAGCCTGCCAATCACCAGACAGCTGAGGGATGCCATCTTTGACCATCCAGTCCTCATAAAAACACCCAACTACTAAAGAACCACCAGATGACTGTAGCCACATGAGTGACCTGGGACGAGACCAGCAGAACTACCCAGCTGACTGCAGCTCAAATTGCTGGCCCACAAAGCAAAAAATGAGTTTTTTGTTTAAGCCACTAAATTTTCAGGGGTTTTGTTACACTGAGATAGGTAAGTGAAATCAATAGAAAGACTTAGGCATTGATCCTACATTCCCTTACAAACCATATTTTTGAGTAGTCAAATATTGAATTAATGAGGTAAATTTCTTCCTTCTATTAAAAGTTTAGTTGATCAATGTAGGAAAATATGGTAGAATTAGACAAGATTGACCCTTTTGAAACAAGAGGGCAATGTTAAATGAAATGTCATTGGGGAATTGTTAAACATGAAATCAGGTTGTAAACACCTGAACCTACTCAAAACATCAGGACTAAAAATGGAAAACCCACACATTGCTTGTGTGAGTGATAAATAGGAAACATGTAGGAAAACCTATGAAGATTCTGGCCAAAAAAAAGTTAAACATGAATCTAATTACAACTATAGGACTCAATTCCATTTACAGAAATTATGGGCGTGGGGAAACAAGTCAAAAGATGCCATAAAGAAGAAAGTAAACAAATTCAATTAAGGGGCATTCAATATGACAATGGAGCCAGACTATGCAGCTGAGTGTCATATGGAGACCTTATTTGAATCTTGACACCAACCAAAAAACCATAAGAAAAATTTAGGGCAACCTGGGAAATTTGATTAAGGACAGGGTATTAGATGGCCAAAGAATTCTTGTTAATCTTATTAGCTGTGATAATGGCATGGTGATTGTGCCAAAAAATGTCCAAAATTTTTGGAAGTATGTGTCTAATATGGAGGTTAAATAGTATAATGTCTGGGGTTGGCAAACATGGAAAAACCTAGATAATAGTTAATTATGAATGATGGTAAATGAAGACTTATTGTTCTAGTCTCTCTACTTTGGAATATGTATGAAAATTTTCATATTAAAAATTTTAAGAATATTAGATTAATATAAACTATATAATTTTTTTTCCACAATTTTCCTTCATTCTTTCCTACCAGAATCAGAGTCTGAGTGATTTCACTCAAAAATCAGCATTCAACTTACATGAACACAAAGTTTTCTAGGGAAAAAAAAATTCATTTTATTAAATTACTCTTTTACCCTATTTTTATCTTTGAGAGGAAGGGACCACTTACTGGTTGATCAATGTTTTCTTCTTTAATTATAGATGATGTACAAACACCAGCATAATTTGCTGATGTGATTTCCTTATCCAAGGCAGTGCTATGAAAGGCCCCAAGTGCTTTTATGTTTTTCATGTAATGCCACTTTTGATTGGCAGCTCCATTGTTGTATGGTTTGTATTTCTGAAAAAAGAGGCAAAATATGGAGTCAAGTGAGTTCATGAGAGGGTTATAGTATCTTGTTTTTCATTGCATAAATCCAGAAAGTACAGCTAATTATTCATAATCACACCATGCAGTGACGACTACTACTCTTGAAATTTTAGTGATTAGATAAGAAATCTTCTTTGTATTTATAAATATGCATTCTTTGATTTACAAAAATAGAACAATAAAATGCATACAATTTGGTAACTGCAGGTCTTTTTCTTAACAATATTCCCTGAACCTTTTTCTAGCATCTTGTAAAAATACATACCGTTTCATTTTAGGGATATTTTACTAATCTTCAATAGTTAAACATATAGGCTCTTTCTCAAACTTTATTTAAAATGAACAAATAGTGTAAATAAATATTTGCGTAAATCCATGATAATTTTTTAGGACAAATTTCTAGAAGTAGAGTTGCTGATAAAAAAATCATTTTAAAGATTATGATATATCAAAATGCTTTCTAGAGACATTATTTTGCCTTGCACTTCTACCAATAGTAAACTAAATGACCCATTTTTCTTACATTCTTGAAAAAAAATGGGCAATACTTCCAAAACACAAATATAATAAATTAAAAAACAGTACCTTGCTGATATTTTAATTTACATTTCACTGATTATCAAAGAGGTTATCTTTTAAGTACATTCAGTTAATTACATAATAAAACAATATATTTATTCTAATTATGATAGTTGGCTCAAGTACAAATAAAGAAATAGTTTCACTTTAACAGAACTTAAACCCATAGATTAGTTCTAACTAAATATATCATAACACCTCAAGCAACTTTTATAATTAATAACATCTACTTTACCAAGTGAAAGCTTAATAGAAAAGAAGAAAATAAATGAGTCCCAAGAATTGATTTAATGGGTCAGACAATAAAACCTCCCTCAGAGGTCTGGAAAACCAAAGACTATATTTTCAAGGACAGAAAAGGGTCTAGTAGCATTAACCCACCATGCTTCATTTTTATTATTTTACATGAACTTTAATATTTTCTCACAAACCAGTTGTTTCAATAAATACAACTCCAGCAACAAAAAATTCCTGAAAGGTTGAAATTACCTTGGGGTCAAATTATTTCTTATGAAATGGTAACCCTGGGAGAAATCATCCATATCTATAATTTTATGAAAACTATTAAGGTACTAAAATTTTATGTGTGTGAGGTTGTGTCTCACTGTGGTCCGTACTGGAGAGGCACCTGACAGAGAAGAACATAATGTTGTATGTACTCTATCTCCTGGAATAATTTCTTAGTCCATATTTATCATCAGGATAGAAGACTTAATTAAGCTTTGGTATTTGTCCAGATTGCTATGTCTCAATTTTGGATTCAGGGCTTGCAAAACAAGTTGCCTCATTGCTATTAAAAACATAGAATGAAACAAATGTTATTTGGAGGCAATCTATTCTGGTCAACAAGAGGATGGAAAACACTGTCGAGGACACAGAAAGTAAATGCAAAGCAGGAATGCTTCTATACTTTCTCTATTACCAGCAAGGAAAAGTACATATTCATCTAGGAATATTGATTATAAGCATGTGAGAATGACAGAAAAATGTGAAAAAAAAAAAAAAAAAAAAAAGATCTTCCTAGGTCTTTGTCCAAAACTCAAATGAAGCCAGACTTCTCTGGAGTCTCCAAAAATTGTCTGGCTGCTATAAGCATTTGCAACAGTGAATGAAAAGAGAATTTCAAATGGGTCGTTTAGTAGAATTAACATTGATGATCTTGCAACCTTCGGGAAGACCTCCCTTACTAGGTTCTTTCCCTCCAGTTGCCAAGGGCTTTGAAAAATTGAGGACTTGCATATGTTCCTGATGATCAAATTTAGGTGCATCTAATAGCCGTCCACCTGCCTGCAGCCACCACTGAGACCATAAGCGTCGTGAATGCTGTTGGGACAGTTTCTCATGCTTGCCATTGGGTTTGATTTAAGTAACTAGCATAGTGCCTGACATGAAGCAAGCCCACAATCACCATCTGTTGGATTAAACTAAATTAAGAGGTACATGAACATGTTCAATTTAAAATCTAGGCAGAATATCATAAATATTTTAACAACAACATTCAAGTAGGATTCTATGACAGTTTTTTTTTCTCCACTATAATAAGGAAGCATAAAGCTTTACTTAAATTTAATTAAAAGGCCATGACTAACCTTTAGCCATACATTCCTTACCTGGACAATAACTGGATAGCCACAAACTTCATTTCTAGTCTTGGTCATAGACACTGCCAACACAAGGTCAGGGTTATTCACCAGGTGAAATGTCCTTGGGAAAACAAGATTAGTCACATTACAAAGTAGCATGACCAGATTAGATCACCCTCTGTGCCACTTAGCAGTGTGTTGCCTCTCAGCTCCATGCATGCTCTGTAATAACGAATGTGAATCCTTTAAGAATTTCTCCCCTACAGTAAGTGTGACGTCAAGCTTTCTCAGTAGAGAGTGCTGGAAGAAGACTGCAGGATGAAGGGGCTCTCCTGCTCTTTCTGGCTGTGACATGGGGTCAGCAGTTGGGAGTGAGAATATCCAATGATGCTCTGCTCCAGCCAGGTGTCCAGGACACAGGTCTCCCGGCACCTTCACAGCCTGAGCTTGCCTATTGCTCCTTTGCTCACTGCCCTTTGGACAGGCAGTAAATTAGGGGATCTATACTCATGTGCATTACATATGTATATAATATATATCACTGACATGGACACCACATACTTCAGGCTTCCTAGGTGTACCAGCATCCCATTCCCTCTGCATGCTGGTGTACCCACTGCATCCCCTTATTTGTTCCAGAGGATTGCATCCTGCTCACGCAGTGTTAAGGTTTGAATGCCCCTTCAAAACTCATCTTGAAACTTAATTCCCAGTATGGCAGTATTAACAAGTGGAGTCTTTAAGAGGTGATTGGATCCAGAGGGCTCTGCCTAGATTAATTCATTCATAGATGAAAGGTATAATGGATTAATGGGTCATAATGAGAAATATTCTATTTTTTTTATTCTTATAAAAAAAACTAGTGGTTTTATAAGAAAAGGTATGTGACATGACGTTCTGTGCTATATGATGCCCTGTGCTGTATGATGACCTGTGCCATCTCAGGACTCTAGAGAGTCCCCAGCAGCAAGAAAACTCTCACTAGATGCAACCCTCAGCAGAACTTTCCAACCTCTAGAACTGTAGGAAATAAATTTCATTTCTTGTAAATTACCCAATTTCAGATATTCTCTTTTTTGTTTTTTGAGACAGAGTCTTGCTCTGTCACCCAGGCTGGAGTGCATGATCTCAACTCACTACAACCTCTACATCTCAGGCTCAAGTGATTCTTCTGCCTCAGCCTCCCGAATAACTGGGACTACAGGCATGTGCCACCACGCCTGGAAAAGTTTTTGATTTTTAGTAGAGACTGGGTTTCACCATGTTGGCCAGGCTGGTTTCAAATTCCTGACCTCAGGTGATCCTCCCACTTTGACCTCCCAAAGTGGTGGGATTACAGGTGTGAACCACCGTGTCCAGCCCAGTTTCAGGTATTCTGTTATAAGTAACAGAAAATAGACTAGACACCCAGCCACCACAGACAAGTTCTGGCCAGGCACACAGGCAAAATTTCTCTGCCATTCAGTGGAATAGAACCATGCATTTTCTAATGAGTCCTGAACCCCAGCATTGGGGAGGAGACCCCATTGCAAGTTTATCCTTTCTTAGGCAATCTCCCTCAGCCCTAGGGTGATATATATTATATACATATGTAATGCACATGAGTATATATCCCCTAATTTACTGCCTGGGTACAATATGGAGGGTAAAAAGAACGTGGCTAACATAAATGGAATTTTCTACTGAGTTCTACTACATAGTGTAACCCATGGTTCTCTAGGTTTCACTAACTTATCATAACAAATGGGTTCTAAAAGCCACCCATTTATATGAAAGAGAACAAAGGAATATGCTAAGGGAAACTGTGCAGTAAAGCTCAGAACTACTGCCACTGTGCAAACACACTTCTGCCATGGGATGTATATTCTTCTGAATCATGCTCACACCTAATCAACAAGACTTCTGCAAAACCTCTCTTGTCCAAGTCTATCTGGGTGTCCCTATATCGTGACTTGCACTCGTGAGCAAATCCTGTCCCACTGGGTCCCCTGATGCTCCACCTTTTCTCTCTGGACTCTGATGTTTCCAATGAGGGACCAACCAATCCAACATCTGCCTTCCACTAACTGGCTCCCTTTTCCGTGGCTTGACATGAGGAGCTCCCAAGATGACAAAGGTACAGAATATTCTGTAACGTGGGAGGTCTCTGAAAGAAACAGTCCTTCTCTTTTGTGTTACAGATGGTTAGATTTTCCAAGGCAGTGCTGCACATGACCCAATATTTCACAGAGTTTTAGGCAAACTTATCTTTTCTGTTTTCCCTTAAAGTCTTCTCCTTCTCCTTCTTTCTCCACAGCGGTCATAATGAAAGGGGGGAAAACACACACACACACACTGACAGACACTGAGCAAGATTCAGAACTAGTATTCTCTTCCAGCGACCAAGTATTCCTGGATCGAACTCGTTATGCACGGCTTTCTCTTGTCATAGGGTCACAGCTCTCATTCCCCATGCATGTCCACTCAAATCCATCAGCCATGCTCAAATTCCACTTTAGGTTTAAGCAGGGACCTCTACTATAATGCAAAAAACCAAGGCAGTAAGATATATTACTAAATACAATGTAGAAATGAGGAAACACTGGGATGTCAGCTCCATAAGGGTAAAGATTTTTTAATCTGTTTTGTTCTTTGTAAAGCAACAGCTCCTAAAACACTGCCCTCAGTAACCCTTGGCAGCTGAATGAATGAATTCTGGTTCCATATGGCAAACTATTCACAGAAACAAAAACCTGCTATCCTACCTCCACATCACAAAGGCAGCTTAGCCCAGGTGAATGGGCTAAAGAAACACTTTCACCAAGTCTATCTACACAGTTGGTTTTCCCGTCTTTTCTAACACCAGCCCAGCAGGTTTTCCTGGCTGGAGGCTTTGCTCATCTCCGTGAACAGAGTAAGACCAGCTCCTCTCCTGCCTACGCAGGGCCCACTGCTGCCGCCTGCTGAAGCTTGTGCAACCTCCCTCAATGCACTGATTCATAAGCCTTTTCATCGCAGACCTTTTGAGAATCCAGGGAAAATCACAGCTCTTTCCCAGAAAAAAATAAATTGCACAGATGCACAAACATACATTTTGTACACTATTTCAAGAGACTAAAGAGGCCCCTGGAGACTCACCATATCACACTATTGGTAGAATTTGAAGCAAACCAATCTAAAAAACAGAGGATTATTTTCTGTTTTGTTAGATTAAAGAGATGTTCAATATGCACCAAAAAGAAAGAGAAATGTGTAATCAATCAGCATGAACCTAACAGTTATCAATATTCTGCTATTCCTGTTTCATCAATTTCCCTCAATTTTTAATATTTTTATTTATAATAGAATGTCTTACAGCAAATCTAAGATAGCTTTTAATTTTATCCATAAATGCTACAATATGTATCCAACTTATCAGGACTTTTTAAAACATAACCATTAAACCATTGCACGCAAGAAAATTAATAAGACATCCTTAATGTCATCAGATAGCCAAGCTGTTTATATGTTGCCTGATTATCTCAAAAATAACTTTTTTACAGTATTGTAGTTGGTTTGAATTTGAATCCAGAACCAGATATTAAATTAGGTTGATATATTTGCTAAGAGAGAAATTAGTTTATACTGTGCGAGTGGAAACCACAAATTGGTTATTTTATGAAGGTGGAAGAAAGAGGGAAGGTGTGCATTGAGGGAAGGATGGGGAGTAAGTTAATGAAAAGTATCAAAAAACTTGAAAATTGGGGGCTTTTTAGAATTCTTTTTTTATTATATTTTAAGTTCTAGGGTACATGTGTGGAATGTGCAGGTTTGTTACATAGGCATACACATGCCATCTCTTCATTTCATAAAAATAAAATTAATGAGAGTTCAGTCTTGAGCCCAATGGCCAGATGAAACTGTGTATCCAGGAGATGACAGCAAACATTCCTTCTCTGAATCTGATTGTGGATAAATTGTATGTAGCTTACCTAGCATTTACATTTGATTTTATTCCCTTCCTCTTCTTTGGCTAAGATAAAGAATTATCAGCTAAGTTAAATAGAGGACCCATAACTCTTAAATAAAGTTCTGCTTGCTCTGTGTCATGCGAGACTTATTAGGCTCCTATTCACCTTTTGATATATTAAACCCACTTATGATGGGATTACCTGCTATCTTCCTTGTGTATCCAGCGCTGATGACTACTATCAGATTTCTTCTCCATCAAAACCACCTCCATGCCTGACCGGAGATTGGGACCATGAACACCCAAGACTAGGTGAGGAGCAGCATGGCTTATAATCTGCCCATCTCTGTATTCAAACTGCTGATGGCAAAGCTTGTGCAATTTACTATGCTTTGGTGAACAGCTGAGATAAAGAAACCTCCATTAGTGGCTGAAAAACGTCCCATGCACTTGATGTGCTAGAGATTGTGAGTTCTGTTGGTGAGAGCTCCACTGTGAACCAGGTTAACTTGAAATGACAGACCTTATCATTAGAATGACAGCAATGCTACTAGCACTGCACTTCTAAGCTGACATAAGAAGTAGAATTCTGAGCTTATTTTGTAACAGAACTAAATGTTTACCAGGAGAACATTTCAAAAATTCATTAGAAAAAAGAAAAGAACTTCAGTTAATAAGGTAATGTAAAGATGAAAAAGTGAAATTTAAAATTAAGTAAGATAATGGGGGCAGGGGCATGTAGAATCAAAACAGAGAAATAAAGAAATTCTGTTCAAACTATGATTGTTCCTATCCTCTATCTATGGTATCCCTGGAAATGGAATACCATTCTCCAAGTTTTTCACTCACCTCTAATAATTCATAGAATATTATAAAATAATGATGTACTAATAATTTAAATGACTCTCTTACTTAAGGATCTTGCAACATTAAGCAGAATTAACATATTACATATCACAACACACTGTAAATTAAATTAATCTATAAACATCTATTAAGTCCCTACTATGTGGATGGCCTAGTGCTAAATGTTGAAGTGTCAGAAACATTTAATTCATATGTTCCAGTAACTGTTATAATGTCAAGTAATTGTCTAAAGATTCTGGAATAATACAAAGTACTATATATTCCTGTCATTTCATTGGACATTGACAAAAAAATTAAACTAGAAAGGAAGAAACTGCATTTTATTAATTTCTTAAAGACATCAGGGCATCCTAAATGTTTTTTCTTAAGTTCACTCACACAGTCATTCAATAAATATACAGGGTGTGTGCTAAGTTTTCAGGAGGCACAGGTGGATAAGAATAAAGAGTTTAATAAATGTAAGTTTAATAAATAAAAGTTTAATAGAAAAAAACACACAAATGAGTAAGTTATTATACTACACTGAACAAAATAAATCAAAGGGTAAAGGACCTTCTCACAAAATTTTGTAAATATTTTCATCAAAAACATAAGACAAAAATGTTCATGTTGATAGAAACAGCAGCTAACAGCAGCAGTGCAAGCTCTTAGGAATCTATGTGTCTTAAGGTGAGAGAACTAACACAAGACAGAAATCTTTAACAGGAACCCTTTGTAACTTTTTACCTGTATTTCTTCTGTGGTTCCACATTTTCAAAGAGCCCTTTTTCCATTTTCTTTGGAAGACTGTCATCCTCATCAAATTCATGCAAAGTTTCCTGCCAGGCATACCTGAGAAGTGTGTCACAAGCCTTCATTCGAAGATGGGCTCTGGCGTGCGAATCTCTATCAAGGTTCAGAAGCAAACACAAGTCTAAGAATTCTGATTTGTGTTCACAGAATTTTTTCCTGAGGTGTAGTCTAAGCACATTCTGCAGGATGTTGGTGGATCTATCAATCTTATTTCCATAAGGGTGCCTAATGTTTGAAATTCACATCTTACTAATACATCATTTCGATCTTTTAATATAAGTCTACAAATAAAATCCCCCAAGCACATAATAAACAGCATTCTTCTTTGTCATGTTTACCCAGAAAAAAATGTAACCACTTTTTATATTTCAAAAAACATAAAGATTGACTACTCAGTAGTTTGAGAAATTCATAATGAACATGTAATGAACTCCTTCTCATAATTCTGACTGGAACAGTACAGCCTAGATTACTGAGTTTTGTAGAGTTTACTCATTAGACAAGGTTAAGAAATCTTAACTTTTCCAAGATTTCCCCACAGAGAAATCTTGAGAGAATCAAATAGCATCTGCACATACGCATCAGCTTTTGATAGATGATAATATACTAAACAGGGTACATAGTCATCATTTGAATACTTGAGTCAGCCTTCTGGCTTCTTGTTAAAATGAAGATATAAAGGGAATCAGCAGCAGCCATATAGATCTGTATATATAAAGTTCCAAGCCACTGTTGAGAGCACATTTGCCTTGAGTGGGATCATGACATGAGGAATGCTTGACTGAGGAAGAATAAAGATACAGGCAAAGCAACAAGCCTATTTCGGCACTCTAAATATGCATACCTGTAAATAAAGTTCTCTGGGACAGACTGATCTCCAAGGTGCTTGTGATAATTTGATGTAACTACAAGCATTATTAAATTACCAGAATCTTCAGGGACAATTCCTGTGCTAGCAGAGCTGACCGTACTCTTTTCAAATGTAATAGAAGTATCGCATGTGGATATGAAACTGGTAGGTAATGACTGCCTCATTCAGAACTGCAGGCAGCACAAGTGGCTTCTCAAGGCAAAACTCTCCCTTTACAGTTAAAAAACAACAGTGCCATCTTGTGTTAAAAATAAAAACCACAGCTTTCTCACCAATTTCATTTCTTTGAGGAAAAGAGAAAAAAATGTCATTCTTGGTTTTAACAAAGTTAGCAAAATACAAACAAGATTCTTCACTCAAATCCAGATGTTTAATTTTCTTACTAGGAATTTCTCTATGAGCTCTTGAACTTCCTGGTAAATGAGGTATAGTCAAGTCAGTTTTAGAACAGTCATTTTTTAAGTCCATCTTGCTTTATTAATTAATTTGTTTATTCATAGAACAAATCTTTCATTAGTTATTCCTTTAATCAATATTTATTGAAAATCTATAAGACGGGTAAGTTATCAGTGCTCATGGAGTTACATTCTAGTGGGAAGAAAAGAGACAAGTAAATGAATAAACAAGGTAAATGCCGTAAGTTGAATAAAATAGGATATTGTGATAGAAATTGACTGGGATTGGGTGAGGTTTATTTTAGCAATGGAGTCAGAGAAGGTTTCTCTAAGAGGTGAATTGAGATATAGAATATGGGGAAGAAGCCAGCCACGTGAGAATCTAGAGGGAGGGCATTCCAAGCAGAGAAAAGAACAAATGAAAAGGCTATGGAGCAAGATTATGGTTATCCCATTTGGAGAACAGAAAGACACTGGTGTGACAGGTATGCAGTGAGTGAGGGGATAGTAGTTCTAGATGAGGCTGAAGAGGTAGGCAGGTACCTGTGATACAGTGAGGAAATGAGAAAGTTGCCCCCACTGTCTCTGTTCCAAAAGTCTTTTTTTCCTGCAAAGCACAAAAATGGTAGGCGAGTATCACCAGAATTTCTTCTCCCTTTTCTTATTGTTTGTGCCAGACAGCTTAATGAGGGGGGAATGTGGAGGGGATCAAAAAGGTTTCTTCTAGATTGAAGTTCTAGCTGCTGGCTTTATGGATGTTCCTCCTTAAATCATCCCAATTTTCAAACATGCAAAAACCTCCAAACAAGCTCATTTAAGAAAGTCTAGGAAAATGTTACAGTGACTTCCTAATATAAGATGATTTCAGATGATTTCAGGATCATGTCATCAGAAATGGTTCAAAAGACTAGTGACAGCATGGAAAATAGATAACCCAGTGTATTAAAAAATATTCCAAGTAGTTTAAGGGCTGTCAAATAGAAGAGAAATAGGGCATAGTACAGAGAAACACATGTAATCATAAGATGGAGATGGTCTAAATAATTATTTAAACGTTAGAATGGCCCACCTTGAAAACAGCGATCTCTCTGTTAGTAGGAGTATTCAAGAAGAGGCTTGAACAAAAGAGCCTGTTTGGAATATGCAGGAGATGCCTGCATTGTGCTCTGAGCGAACCCAATCACTTTTACCTCAAGGACTCCAGGCCTTCATGCAATCTCTGATTTAGAACAATGAGGATCTTTGCTCTCAAAAATGTTTCTCTCTTTTTTTCTTTCTGTTTATTTTTTTTCCAAGTGTAAACTAAATTACTCAGAGGCTAGATGATACATTCTTTAGGGGATATGAAAGTTTGTGGTCAGTTTCCTAACTGTTGAGAAAGATATCATCTAGGACTAATTATTCTCTTTGAAAGACGCCTTCTGGTGCCTTTGTTAGTGTCAATCATAGGACCAAATGTATCACCCATCAAAACGAGGAAGTTTGGTTCCTAAAATAAAAGTTCACATTCTTACAACTGAAGATAGAAAGAGTTCATAACGATGATATATAAATTATTTTCACAATTATTACAGTGGTAATTGCCCAGGTATTTTTGGTTTTATAATTTGGAAACACACGCAATCTATCCTTAGTTTATTTGGTAAATGATGATTAGAACCCGTGTGACAGAGTCTTTGCCCTCAACAGTTCCCAAGTTGGTAGCGGGAGGGGTACGCAAGGGGGAGAGGAACTGACAAGTACATTGCCACGTACAATCATTGCTGTAATTGACTTCAATGCTAAAGAATTAATCTACAGATAAGTAAGGGGCAAGTAAAGGCACTGCAAGTGGAGAGAAATGAATATATGGCTTGGAGGTCTGCAACAGAACATAAACGAAATATGCAATATGCAGGCAACAGCTTTTTGTTGCTGAGCTGGAGGTTGGAATTCGTGTGGCAGAAAGAGACATCGGCCATGGGAATGCAAATGAAGGTCAATGACAGGCATAAATGAGGGTCAGAAGGGTTTGGGATTCCAGAAGAGTAAGTTTTTCTGTCTGCAATAGGTAGCCATTAAAAAACTGTGTGAAAAGGATGGTGCCTTAGAAAGTTAATTGTCTCCTGTTTAACTTAAAGGGAAATTGGAAGGTATCATGGCAATAGAAAACAATCAGAAAGCTATTTCAATGATCCAGAATGATAACTGTATATTTACATGTATCTAACTTGAACTTGTTAGGGAAGAAGCTTAGTTGATTCTGAAGTTTATAGAAATAAAACTTCATGAATTCCTCAAATAAATGTCTACAATCCTAAAATTCTAGCCTTTTAAAAATAATAACATTATAATAATATTACGGAAAGTAGATCATTGTGATGGTTGAACACTGAAGGTATAGTTGTATCATTTTGCCAGAAAACTAATTAAATACTAGTTCTTCACCTGCCATCAGTTTCACAAACTTGGCATAAGCTCCCTGCATGGGTTCTGTGCTGTTATCAGGCTAATGAGCTGAGTTCAAAAAGCAGCCACGTAGCTTTTTGGGCTATACTGATTACTTACAGAATTTTACTGGAAGCATTTTCTGTTGTTAAAGCATCTTTTTGTACTTGCATTTCTTCTGGTTCTGTAACTTGCTCCTCATCTCCAAAAACTGCTATAGGTTTATGCACCACAAGCTTGCTTCCAGATACAATGTCACTTTGGACTTCTAAAACAAGAGCTGAGCAGAAGTTCACAAATTGCAAGGACATGTTAATTACAATTGCAGAGCATTAGGAATTTGAAAACACACACAAAAATACAAATGCAAAAAATTTCCATCTATTTGATCTATTCATAGGCTACTTATTAAACTCAGTTGAATTTAATTTTAATTTTTGTAGATTCTTTACTCTCAAGATATTCTTATCAAAAATGCTAAAAATAGGTCTTTCCAAAAATCAGTTAATTATTCTATACTGTAATTATTCAAATGGGCTACTTTATTTAGATATATGTTTCTAGATCATTCTCTGGAATCCAAAACTCATCAGTGGATGTCCCAGTCCTAGTGAAAGCCTTGAACAACATATGCAAAGCTTTACTGTACAATGCTCGATGTATAAAATAGGGCAGTGTTTTAAATTACACTATTTTTTTCCCTGCTTTTTCTTTTCTCTATATGGACTTTCATCCTAGTTCCTGGAGAAATCTTAAGGGAAGGAGAAGGTCATGAGGAAATTAGAACTTTTATAAAAGAAAAGCAAAAGTCCAAAAATAGTTTTTGACATTCAAACAGCATACTGCCATCGGCCTTGGAAGTCAGGATGATACAGTCATGATCTACAGTTTCTCCAAAAGCCTGTAGCTCCTACTTAGTGTATCAAGGGTTTAACTTCAGGGTTGACCTGGAGCAAAACCACCACTTCTGGGCCAGAGGGGATTTGGAGCACAAGGCAGAGAAAGCCAGAAAACTGGCATGGGGTATCTTGATTGTCTCTACAGGCTTCACTTTGGGTATCTTAGTTAAATGGGGGAAACCGTGAGAATACTGCCCATTGTTCAGGACACCGTGATGATGTCACTTTTCAAGCTACCCTTGCTACTTTAATCTGAGGCACAGCCAGCCACGTGAACTGGGATCTGGTTTCTGGGAGGTGCCGCTAGGACCCCAGAGTTGCTGAGAATCTTCTTGGGGAGATTTCCAGAAATGGATGTCAGCAAGGACTGCAGAGATGACCGTTCAGTCATAGCTAGGCTCCAGAGGGCCACAGGAAGCAGAGAGAAGGCTGAGTGAGGGGGGAAGCATGCCCGCCCAGAGAACTGTCTGATCCAAAAGAACAAACCACAAGCCACTTCAGCCATAAACTTCAGCCAGCAGAGCCCAGGAAGCAAGAAGATCTGCATCCCAAGTGCTTTCTGTCTTAGAGAGGAACTTAAAGTGAGAGTCTGGAAACTGAGAAATCTAAAGCTCTCCCTAAAGGGACTAATTAAATTAATAGATGGAACAAAATATAAACATGACTGGAGAATACATGAGGCTCACAAAGAAGATCAGATCTGTTAAGAGCAAAATAAAATTATGTGTTCTTTGCACATCCAAACTATAGTGTGAACTAAAATACTCAAACATGTCAAACATATAAGTTAAAGAGTTAAACAGCAAGATGCAGAGGTGAAATACGACCTGTTTAAACAAATTTTGACTTTTTTAAAAGCAATATCATCAAACATTTCATTTTGGCTGCATATACTAAGGTAAATAATTCCAATGCTTACCTTCTATTTTATGTGTGCTGCAGAACATTTGTATTTTGGAAATGTCTGATGCTAGGTTCCTCAGGAAGATTTGTTTCTTTTGCTTAGCAATGAACAGGTCAGGATTGATCCAATGTTCTCCACATGAAACATACACCTATCAAACAAAGCATCTCTCATCCTGTATATAATTGCCACAGCAGCATTATTTGTAATAATCAAAATGGGGGACAATAAATAAGTCTTATTAGTATAATAGGTGAATGATTAAAGAAAACTGTGGTGCCATGGAATCCCACTCAGTACTTTCAAAAAAATCACACCATTGATAAAGGGAACAAGCTCTGATGAATTTCAAGAGTTTTGTACTAAGTGAAAAACTATCTTTGTATCTTACCATATTATTTTTGCAACATCCTGTGAATCTATAATTATTTCAAAATAAAAGTTTTAAAAAAGTAATAGTTTAAGAAAAAGGGGGAAGGAAGGAAGAAAAGAGAAAGAAAGGGAGTGAGAGAGGGAAGGAGGTTGAAAGAAAGGGAGAAAAGAAGGAAGCAAGGGAGGGAAGGAGGGGAAGAGGGAGGAAGAGATGAAAGAAGGAAGGAAGGAGTAAATAGAGATTGGCTAAATTAGAGATGGCAAACTATCTCTAAAATGCAAATCCGGTCTGCTGCCTGTTTTTGTGAGTAGAGTTTTATTGGAACACAGCTATGCCCATTCATTTACAAGTTGTCTATGGCTGCTTTGATGCCACAGGAACAGAGCTGATGTCCAGTAGGCACCATATCACCCACAAAACCTACAATATCTACTATCTGATCCTTTACAGAAAAAGTTTAATGACCCCTGGTATAAACGAATTTGTAGTACAAATATCAAAATGTCAAAACATCAAAATGTCAGTGTGGATAGTTCAGATTACAAGATTATGGATGACAATTTTCCTCCTTTTTTTGTTTATATGTATTTCTTAAATGTCCTAAAATGGATAAATATTTCTTTAAAGATGAGAAAAGAAAGTGATATATTGAGAAAGACTCAGGAAGAAGAAAGAGAACCTCAGTGCTGCCTTTTCTGATCATTACATACTCATTATTACAAATATTCTGTGTATGAAGACCCAGAGGAAACTTTTCAAAAAAAAAATTTTTTTTTTTTTTTGAGATGAAGTCTCACTCTGTAACCCAAGCTAGAGTACAGCGGCACAATCTCAGCTCACTACAACATCTGCCTTCAGGGCGCAAGTGTTCTCATGCCTCAGCCTCCCGAATAGCCTGGATTATAGGCACCCACCATCATGCCCGGCTAATTTTTTGTGTTCTAGTAGAGGTGGGGTTTCACCATGTTGTTCAGGGTGGCCTTAAACTCCTGAGCTAAGGCTACCTGCCTAGCTTGGTCTCCCAAAGTGCTGGGATTACAGGCGTTAGCCACCACGCCCAGCCAAAAATTTCTTCTTTTGAACAACAGGTCTCTTTCTCTCTTGTGGACATATTTAATCATGTAACTGTTTATGTTTCCATCTTCATGTTACTCTTCAGAGCAGTCACAGATTAATTTCTAGCAAATATACAATCACTCCTGGCTCCATCTTATCCTCCTTCCACTCATTCCCACATTGCCATGGTGGCCTCATCTAGACTTACCATTAAATTAATTTTTTGTATTGTATGATTTAATGTAATCTACCGTAAATTCGTTATTTAAAAATCCACAGTGATTAGCATAGCAGCACAAACAAAAACAGTATAACCAAAAGCACAAAACACTTGAAAGAGATGGAATTAAGATTCAAAATGAGACCTAGCAGCCTCCGAGATCAACAGACTCCTCACCCTGCCATGCTGCCTCTGATACTGGCCATTGATACTTCTGTTTAAGACTCTCCAGGGGTTTTAGGTTTAGAGCCTGAGTTGAGTTCTGATGAAATGGTATGAGCTTTGTTCTCTGTTCAAAGAATTTTTGGCATCAGTCAAGGAAGGGTTTTTTTGTTTTTGTGTTTTTTATTTTTCAAACTGATGCCTCAAATTCTATAAATGGGGGGAAAGCCTGGGCTGCTAAAGTCCTTATGCTTTTCCACCTTCTCCAGTCACCCAAATAGAGTATGTGAAAAAGTAGGCATAATTTTATCCTGAAAAAGTGTAATTATCATTTAGTAAGAAATAATTAAACAACTACATTTTGAAGCTCTCAAAAAGAGTAGGGAATTTACTTCCTTCAGAGCAGGAGATAGAAATTGCAAATGATTAATAATTTGGCTTTCTCCAGTTTCTTCCTTAATTTTTAGAGTCTAGTCTTGTGATGAACATTAAGTAGATTAATTCGGCTGGGCGTGGTGGCTCACACTTGTAATCCCGCCACTTTGTGAGGCTGAGGCAGGTGGATCGTCTGAGCTCAGGAGTTTGAGACCAGCCTGGGCAACATGTCGAAATCTGTCTCTACCAAATATACAAAAAACTTTTCCGGGCATGGTGGCACATGCCTATAATCCCAGCTACTCCAGAGACTGAGGTGGGAAAATTGCTTGAGCATGAGAGGTGGAGGTTGCAGTGAGCTGAGATTGTGCCACTGCACTCCAACCTGAATGACACAGCGAAACCCCATCTCAAAAACAAACAAACAAAAAACAAACAAACAAACAAAAAACAACCCACAAAGATTAATGTATGTACCACTCTGAAAATCATGCCAGACTCATAAGAAGCTCTCAACAACGTTAGCTGTTAGTGTTACTTTCTGATGCTTGCTCAGTTAGAATAATTCTGAGAGAAAATAAGAATTACAATGGTAAGCATCTGAAGATTTATATTTAAGGGGATTCTTTCTTGGATGAGGTATTCATAAATTAATATTGCCAGTTTCAAATCCATGTCTTTACCAGTTCATCTCTTTGTAAGTCTTTTAAGGCAAATATTTCCTTCCCCTTTTCATTGAACAATCTCCGAGCTGCAGAAGGTAAATTTAAAATCTCAGTGCACCTGTAATAAAAGACACAAAAATTGATCTTGATACAGAAAGCTTCCAGCAGCAAAGAGAGAAAATTTTAAAAAATCAGGGGCCTGAATCCTTAATGATAACTCTCTCCTCGGGACTGTTAGTCATAAGCTGGACTCTGGGGCCCGTCAGACCCATTTGAGTCTCATTTTCCTCTCCAATTGTGGCACTTGAGAAAATTATTTAACCTGTCTAAGGCTGGATTTCTTACCTTCCAGGGTTTCTGTGAAGATTAAAGGTTGATTTTGAAAAGGGCTCTTAGCACAGTGCCAGACATGACCAATAAATAGACAGACACACTGCTATTGACTTTTCGTTCTTCAGTATGCCCCACACTTTCCTATTTCTGTGCCTGTGTTCTTTCTCCTACCTAAAACAAATCTTTAGCTTTTTCTGTTGCAGTTTTGCCCTTTCTCCAAGGTTGTCAAAGTCAAATTTGTCACCAACTTCCTCATCTCCCTCTACCAGAAGTGATGACTATAACCCTTTAACTACCTTTGAAGCAGAAGTTTTTAGCCTGGTTAAACAATAAACATTGATTTCCCACTCCCACAACCCCCTGCCCTCCCAAACAAGCACTGGACAAGCCCTGTGGATATTGTGATGAATGACAGTTTCGTGGTTCCCTGAGGAGCTCCCAATCTGGTCAGGGTAGAGAAAAGTCAGCAACTGAAGTGTAATATGAAGTCATGGGTGCTCCCATAGGCACCTGCCAGTGTGCTGTCAGGACAGTGGGGAACACAATTTTTCCAGGGAAGCCTTATCTAAGGGAGTGACATTTGGGTTGGATTTTAAAGGATAAATGGAAGTTTATCCAAAGAGACTAGACTGGAGCTGAGTGTGTGGGCATGAGGAGAGTGTAGTCCAGGTGAAACGGAAAAAGAAAACAGAAACCAACTGAAAGCACTTAGGATTCTAGACTGATGAACCTGCCTTCTAGCCCATAAGCAGCAGAAAGCCACTGAAGGCATTAGAGCAGATACATAGTGTTATCAGGTCTGCTTTTTAGAAAGTTAACTGTCAGAAAGGTGGGAAATGGGCTGGAGGTTGGAGGAGATGGACCCTAGACAGCAAGTTTTAGGAGAGATGTAAATAGGTGGAATTGTGAGGAAAAGTAGAGCTAAAAAGGAGACTGATGGAGCATTTCCTAAGCAATACTGTGGGATTATCCTGCCTGTGGAAGAAGTAAAAGATTCTTGCTAAATATGTTTTGTGTTAGACTGTACTGTTCACAGTAAATTAACTTCAGTTCACTTTATGCTCATCAGCAAGACACAGCTTTTTAAAGAATGTTTCTAAATTTTATTTCCTCACTGGGATAAATCAATTAAACAGATAATCAGGCCCTCCATTTCTCTAAGGGTAGTTTAGAAGTAAACAAAGCAGGCTAGGTATGATGGTGCACACCTATAATCCCAATACTTGGGAAGGCCAAGGCAGGAGGACCACTTGAGGCCAGGAGTTCAAGACTAGCCTAGAAAACATAGCAAGACCCCATTTTTAAAAAAAAAACATTAAAAAATTAAAAAATTAGTGAGCCATGGTGGTATATGCCTGTGGTCCCAGCTGCTTGGGAGGCTAAGGCAGAAGGACTGCTTGAGCGCAGAAGGTTGAGGCTGCAGTGAGCTATGATCATGCCACTGTACTCCAGCCCAAGCAACAGAGTAAGACCCTATTTCAAAAAAATTAAACTAAATTTTAAAAATTGGGCCAGGCACGGTGGCTCATGCCTGTAATCCCAGCACTTTGGGAGGTGGAGGCGGGTGCATCACCGAGTCAGGAGACTGAGGCCATCCTGACCAACATGGTGAAATCCCATCTCTACTAAAATACAAAAAAATTAGCTGGGCATGGTGGCACATGTCTATAGTCCCAGCTACTCAGGAGGCTGAGGCAGGGGAATCACTTGAACCCGGGCGGCGGAGGATGCCATGAGCCGAGATTGTGCCGCTGCACTGCAGCCTGGGGAACAGAGCAAGACTCCATCTCAAAAATAAAAAAAGTAAATAAACCAGTGAGAACTAAGTCCTTGCTTCTCATGTCACAACTCTGGAGGCTGATGGACTAGTGAGGAATGGGAATGGCCATGGCCATGGCCATGTCCCTCGTACACAGGTTGGCGGGGTAGGGGTGGGAGGTAACTGTAAGAGAATTGAATGCCAGTCTCAACATTTGCCTGCTTCTGTTTGGATGATACCCAAAGACCCATTTTACATGGAGCAGGGGAAAGACAGAACCTTGTGGGAGGCAGCTAACTAAGAGAAAGCCAAAGGAAGAAGAAAATGAAACACAAAGCAACAGATGAAATGAAATACAAAACAAAATCAACAGAAATGCAAAACAAGAAAATTTTTCTAAAAAGAAAAAAAAAACAATTAGTTCTACTTTCCCCTATTGATATATTTGGGGATCCAAGCAGTTAAAGTGTGGCCTGAGAAGAGTTACCATCATTCTATCTATCTGTCTCACTCACACTTTCCTCAGGAGAATGTTTGGACCAAGGGAGTATCCTGTTTTAGGACAACAGGTGAGAGGAGAGAAGGAATAGGTGGTTAGGGAATCTTTCTTCCTCCTTTTTTTCTTGTTGAAACCTTGATAATAATGTTGAATTTTGCCCAAGTAGTGGGAGAGGATTTGGATAAACAGTTTCCTGTATATTTAATTTCTCAGTTCACAAACTGGCCAATATTAATGGGGAGAGAAGAAGATAAGAATTGGTTCTTAAATACCCAGTAAGGAGGCCAGGCACTGTGGCTCATGCCTGTAATCCCAGGACTTTGGGAGGCCAAGGCAGGCAGATCATGAGGTCAGGAGATCGAGACCATCCTGGCCAACATGGTAAAACCCCATCTCTACTAAAATACAAAAAATTAGCCAGGTGTGGTGGCGTGCACCTGTAGGCCCAGCTACTAAGGAGGCTGAAGCAGGGGAATCACTCGAAACTGGAAAGTGGAGGTTTCAGTGAGCCAAAATTACAACACTGTACTCCTGGCGACAGAGCAAGACTCTGTTAGAAAACACACACACACATGCGTGCGCGTGTACACACAAACACACACACACACACACACATCTAATGTGGGCTCTGCAGTGAGATTGCCTGGTTACACACACAGATGCACACACACACACACATATACACACACATGCACACACACGCACACACACACACACACATCTAATGTGGGCTCTGCAGTGAGATTGCCTGGGTTCAAATTCTAACCTCTCATACACTGGTCATATAACCTTGGAAAAGTTACTTTTAACTTCTAGGATCCTCATCTGTCCCATCAATAAAAGATGGCTATAGTAGCTTTTACCTCATTAGAGGTTTTAACAGAGTATGGATACTGTAAAGCGCGTGGCATATAAAAAGTCAGCAACACATTATTAAAATTGACCAAACACTGCAAGCATTTTATATCTACTCTCTCATTTAATTCTCACACCATTTCTGAGTAGCCCATTTTACTGAGGAGGAGACTGAATCTGGAGGTTAAGCTTCTTGGCCAAGGTCACATAGACAGTAAATGGGAGAGCTGATATTCAAGCCTACATCTTTCTGGATCATTTATTGCCTCATATGGTCTCCTGAGAGGGCATCATCATAGAATGATATTAGATCTAGAAAGTAAAGAAACCAAGATGCAGACTCAGATTTCTCTGTTATGTGGAGACAAAGGCCCTAGAAATAAGGTCTTCTTTCTCTCACCACCAGAGCGGATGGGCAACCATGAGGTTTGTTTGGGTTTATAGACAGTGCAGGCATCTTATCTCTGACTTTACTTTCTCAGTGCTGGAGCAAATGAGGAAAGCAGGTGGAGCTGATTCCTGAGGACTGTATTTCAGTATAACCCAAGGTGTCCCAGAGACAAAAGGGCAGTGGGGAAAAGAAAGGAGCTATGCCTCCCAGATCACAGTCAGCTACAGCTCCACAGCAGTGGACAGCAGTGGAGCTATTATGCTAATCACTTGCCAAGACACTCTGCCCCAGAAGCTCTTCCACACTCTTCCAGTTCTTTCCAAACAGTAACAAAACCTTCAAGAAGCTACTGTCATGTGCTTTCTCCTTTTCTTTATCTTCTTGCTTTGGATTTCTGTCTCATTTTCTTTCCTCTCCAAGTGGCCTTCTACAACAGCTGCTCCTTACAATGTTCTCTCTCTTACCTGATTATGTATAAACCAGGAAATATATCATATATAAATGATCCCTTGATCGTTTTCAATTCTGTATGGTTAAATACTGCTGCATGTGGCTGTACGATTTTTTAACTAAGCAAATTTTCTTCCCCAAAAGTTAAGTTAGTTAGGAGTTCCTTGAAAGCAAGCAATGCCTTTTTCTAAAAAAAACAAAAACAAAAACAAAAAAAACCTCCAGTGGATAACCTTCAACACTGGTGGATGTACATAATATAAATACAACAGATGCCTGTTGATTTAACAGTTGAGGAAAACAAGGCTTGGAGAAGCGCAGGGCTTTGTTAAAGTCTTTCAGCTAGTTAGTGGCTGGGGTTAAAATAATTCCTTTGCCTCCTAATCGAATGGTTTTTCCAATATTCTATGTTGCCAGCAACTTTACAGAAAGTAGAAGGTACCAACAACAATAAAAGTTCTTTATCTATTATTCTAAAATGGAATTTACTATACTATTAGATCATCCTTCAGTTTTATAGACGGAAAAACCAACAACAAAGAGAACCTCAGAATTGCCTAGAGTGAATTATTAAATAACTGAAGATAGTATAATTTTCCTTAAACTAAATAAAACTATCCCCTCATATTTGACAAGGCAAAAAAAGTTCATACCAAGTGCTCCAACCTTTCGGCAGTGATCTAATTCCTGATTTGGCAGGAAAATACTGATTAAAGAAAAAATACAACATATTTCATAAACATGATATACATTAATGCTAGGGTTTAGATGTTTGCCTTCTGCAAACCTCATGTTGAAATCTGATCTCCAATGGTGGAGGTGATGACTAACGGGAGGTGTTTGAGACATGATGGAAGATCCCTCATGAACAGACTAATGACCCATCTTGGGGGTGAGTGAGTTCTCACTCTATCAGTTATTTGAGAACTGATTGTTAAAATGATGCTGGCACCTTCCCTTTCTTGCTTCTTCTCTGCCATGTGATCTCTGCATTTGCCAGCTCCTCTTCAACTACTGTCGTGAGTGGATGCAGCCTGAAGCCCTCATCAGATGCAGATGTCCAATCTTGAACTTCCCAGCCATCAGAATCATGAACCACATAAACCTTTATTTCTTTATAATTGGGTATTTCTTTATAGTAACACAAAACAGACTAAGACAGTCATATTTTAAAAATTGGTTTATAATAAGTAAAATATAAAAATTTAACTTCCTCACTCTTAATTTAAGCAAATATAAACCAAATGTCCTGTAAATTGTGAAATATATTTTAATGATATTAATTTATACTTATAGAGTTGGTCATTCAGAAAGCTAGGGAAATTTGCTAGACCTTGATATTTGGCCAAAAAAAAATAGTATTAATTACCATTAGTAGCATAGGTTCACATAGTTTATATATTTCACAGATTAGAAACTCCAGAATCATTATATTAACAACTGTTTTCTTAGGTAGGTGTATATATATAAAATATTTTACCTGTTATAAACCACTTACATATATATTTAAATTGGCTTATAATAGGTAAAATATAAAAATTTAACTACCCCATCCTTAATGCAAGCAAATATAAACGAAATATAACATACTATATTTAAGTGTGTGTATATGTATATATATCCCATATACCATATATGTAGTATGCTATCTGTTATAAACAATCATTCAGGTATTTAAATGTTAAAAAACATTTGCGTTCAGGATATTAAGTATTTACCTTTCCAAAAACTGGTGAAATTCTATCTGGTCCATTTCTGTTTCAGAATATTTAGTGACACAGATTTTCTCTTTCTTTTCAGTGTTAACACTTCTGAAACAAATGATCCAAGATTCGATTGATATGTCAGAATGCATTGTCAATTATCTCTTGACATACTTTAATATGTGAAAAATTATAAAGTCTTAATTTATCATGATTTACCCTAAAGTAATCTCTTTCTTTAAAAAATACAGTTTCAAAAACTATCACAATGAAATATTAAATTTCATATTAAATATTAGATAACATAACATGTTATAACATAAATATACTACAAGTAATTTTATAAGACAATACATTTTCACAATTTTGTTTCTCTTCTAATAATGTTTTCTAAAAATATAATGCTGAACACTATGAGATAAAAATTTTTCAACTCAAGAAAATTCAGAGATTGCATTCATTTTACCTGTAATTTTTTATTCATATATTATCTTATTAACCCCAAATTTAAAAGTTTTAAACTGAAAAAAAATGATGATTATAGAAAGAGATACTTAATTTGAATATACATCTGCTTAAAGTTTCAAGTTAGAAAACTGTTTCATGCATTTTTTAGAATCTATATATTTTATTAAATGAAATAAATAGTTATCAAATACTGTAATCATTCCTTCATTATGAATTGTGATCAAATATAGCTAACCATTTATTCATTCAGTAGTCATTAATTTCAGGCCTATGCAGGCCCTTAATCATGTGGTTAACAAAATGACTCTCTAATACCTTAATACTTGATTCATCAGAACGCAACGAACTATGATCGTAACACAGCAGATTGTACATCTGCTACGAATGAAGCATCCCTGCTCTCTATCTCATGGATCGAACATAAGCAGATAATCATGAAACAGAATGGCAGCTGCTGTACTGGTGGGAGACCCAGGGCTACAGTAGTGGAGTACATAGCAGCCACAACTAACTCGAGAGGACAGAATATCTCATTCAGGGTCAACATCTGGAAAGGAAGTCTAAACTCATTCTCAGAAGACGTTGGTGGTGAGTGGTTTAAGAATAGGGGGAGTGTCAATAGGAAATAGGGCTAGAGAAATATGCCAGGATACACCATAAAAGGCCTTACAAGCTGTATTAGGGAGTTAGAGTGAGTTCAGAGATCATAACTTACCAATAAGTAATACATATATTGAAATCATCTAAAATATAAAATTTCCTTCAGAGCCTCATCTTGGGCCTTTCCTCTTAAAATTCCTTAAATATCACATAAAATTTTCCTAGTTTAACTTACATTACTGAGAGATGAAATTTGCCTGTGACACAAGAACATTTACGAAAGTCTTAATTTATATGAACTCGACAGTCTTAAGACTGACAAGATCTTGTCATTCACTAGAGTAATAATTGACTAAGTAATGAACAAATGCTATTATTTGATTTTCCTTAGGCTTTGTAGATGAAAGAACCAATAACAACAACAAAATCTCCTCAAAACTATCTCCAGTAAATTATTAAACAGCTAAAGGACAGCATGTTACTAGAGCAGGATTTGGTTATAGTATATATATATTTCATCATTCTAGCATGATTGTGCTTGTAAAGACACTAAACAGCCCAACACTCTTTCTTCTAAAAAGTTAGTTTCGGGTTCAGGCAAGTAATATATCCTTATATGTCAATGGAAGTTATTTCTTCTGGAAGGTATGCAACTTGTATTTATTAAAGGCACACAAGGCACAGCAGGGCTTCTGCCTGACAAAACTCTAGGATGCCATTCATACGGATAACAATATGTAGCTGGGGCCACAGGCATGCACCACCATGCCTGGCTAATTTTTTAATTTTTTAAAAAATATGGGATCTTGTTATGTTGCCCAAACTGGTCTTTAACTCCCAGCCTAAAGTGGTCCTCCTGCCTTGGCCTCTCCACGTGCTGGGAATACAATGCGAATGGTGCTCTCTGAAGCTGGGCAACACAGCCACCTTGCAATGTAAGCCAAGACTTTCCATTTGAACCTTCTAAGAACTAGTATTTACATCCAGCTCCAGTGGCAGGGTGGAGGTGTGTGGGGGAATGCTGTTGATGCTCTTATAGAATATTTTCTGAATCCACAGAGAAAGATTAAACCACATGTAGCAGAGTTTTAGTGTTAAGTGTATGTCAGTGTATTTTAATTATTTGGGAGTAATTAATTCATATGGTGAACAAAGTAATTCTAATGCCTGAATACTTGATGAACTGGGACACACTATTCCATGAGCATAGCAAACAGGCAGCACAGCGTTTCACACACTCTCTGCTAGAACAGCTGTCCGCATTTACCATTTCAATCTCTTAAAATCTGTTTGGATTACCTGAGTGAACCACGCATTTTCAAACATTGATGTGATAAGATAACATCTATATGTAACTTTGAGGCACAATTAAGATACAAAACAAGAAAAGAAATGAATGTAGGAAGGGACAGAAATTTTGTGTTAACTTTGGGTGTTATTTTTGAAAAGTCATACACTACTTTAAGGACATTTTACATCTAGCAGAATGAGCTAATTATGAAATGTATGCGTCAAAGAATTCAATTTCAGGCTTGACTTTACTTTGAAGATTAATTTTTTACTTTATCATCTGTACAGGCAGTTCAGTGGTCAACAAATCTGAATGTTACTCATTGTTCAGCGATGTATGAAGTATATTTTAATCAATGTGAAGAAAGTAATATTAAACTATTATCAGCAGCCTCAAATATTCTAAACATCTCAAAAGAAAGGTCAAGAGGTTATATCACTGCTAACAATATGAGAAACAATGTGTAAACTCATTCTTTACATCAGAGCTCTTCAATGATCTATGATTCCTTGTGTCATAAAATGAAATGAAAATGTAGCAGGTGAATTTTCTCCAATGTTGGAGAAATATTGGCTGTTGGGAAAATTATATTCCAATCATAAGGTAAGCAGGAGTGTCGGTAAATGCTTTTCTGGGGTGATAAACTTTTAAAATGTTATTCCAAGGAAGACTATAAATTATATAAAGTTATACTTTTGAGAACTATATTTGTTCATTAAATATTCTAAAGATTTAAACATAATTGTGTATAATTTAACTGAAATAAGGAATTACAAAAGCATATTTAAGAAGGACGTTGAGTTCAAGTATTTGAAGACATATTTTTAAAACTCAAACAAAAATGCCAATTCAAATATACATTGATCATAAAACTTTTAAAAATAGAACTTTTAAAAATCAGAGCCACTCATTTCTAATCCATTATCTTCTAAATCAGCAGAGTTCAAATTAAATTCCTGATGAAGAAACTAAATGAATCTTAGTCTCTATTTTCATCTTCGAATATCAATATGGGAGCCCTTTTGCTAAACAAATACAGAATTCTAACAGAGAAACATCCATAATGAAGAAGACAAAAATCTGTAGAAACTAGAAAGTGTATTTAATAAGTATGAACAATTGTTCTTACTGCATTTTCCGTCCAGGTGAGATGTCCGGACCAAGGATAGTAAAGGATCTGTTTTTATTTTTGTCTCCATTCCGCAAAACTCTGAGTCGCACAGGGGTGTATGGCTCTGTTGTCTTACAGATGGGTTTCTTCATAGGAGGACTGCTCGGAATTAGCAGTCCTTGTATTGGCCAGTCAAACTCCTTCAGAAAGAAATAACAAAATTAATAATAAATATAGGAGAAGAGTCATTTCTAGATTTTAAAAAATATTAAACACTCTGTTTATACCTTTAATCTGTGATTTATTCAACAAAAATGTATTGGGGTGCCTAAGATGCTCCAGACAATTCTAATTAATGTTTTATTTGAATAAAAAAGAAAGATAGCTATTTTTAAAATTTCTGTAACAACTTGTGTTATGCTGCAAGATGAATGATTCATTCCTTCTCAGAGAAACATCATTCTAGAAAAATAGAACTGGATGAACTTGGAGAATTTTTGCTTACATGTTAAATATCTTTAATCCGTGTGAAGAAGGCATGTGACAAAAGTGGTTTTAAGATAGCCTGAAATAATACCACCTTAAACTAGATCTATTTGGCAAAATGGAATATATTTGGAGAATATTCCAAAAAAAAAAGAATAAAATAATGAACATAAACACATTTCAAATATTTCAGTTGTAGAATTCAGTTACTTTTTTATTGTTTGTATCTATTCATCCATAAAAACATTTCTTGATTCATGTATTCTTCAAATATTTTTTAATGTTTACCATATATTCTAGGCATGATGTTATGCACTGAAAATAAAACGAAGAACCACAAAAGATACTCTTCCTTGAATAATTTATAGCAGGTCTTTGGAAACTTACCTAAATATAGACTGGCAATTGCAATAGTCTGAGTATGATGACAGGGTACAGGTGTAATGGAACAACACAGGAGGAGAACCTAACTCAGAAATGTCGTAGAACTGAGTCTGGAAGCCTTAGAAGGAGTTAATGCAGTCAAGGATGGGTCAAAAGAGGGACAGAGTAGATGTATCAGACTTGAGGATTAATAGAATATGATGTTGGGGCAATAAAAGGAGGCAAAGGGGCTTCCATGTTCACAGCTTGAGTAACTGGGTTGGATGGTACTGCTGTTCACAAGATAAGACACTTATGTGTGAAAGAAGAGTAAATGCGGAAGGGATGATCAGTGATGATGCTGGGCAAGGTCTGAGTTTGTTCTTTCTTTTTTTTTCTACTTTCATAAACATTGTCCTAGCAGCATCTCCTGTTAATCTGTAATGGCCATTCTGTAAAATATCACTATTGCATATAAATGTAGATCTGCTTTTGCTTCTCTTCACTTTGTCAGTTTGTCTTTCCCTTCACAGAAATGTACTGTTTTGATTACAATATATTTTTATGTGGTTAGTCTTGGAAACTGCAAGGGCAAATATGCTCACCATGTTTTTCTTTTTTGGGAATTGGCTCTTTTTGGCCCTTTGCTATTTCATATACATGTATTAGCTTGATTAGTTTTTCAAAAATCTATTTCAGATAGAAGTGCTGCATATTAGGTTAAGAAACTTTTACTTTGTTAATACTTTTTCTTAAATTTGTGTTAAATCATATGAAGCTCTTTTTCCTTCGTTTACTAAGATTTGCCTTGACTAAACTCTCATCACTTAAGCGATAATTACATTAATTTTTAAAATTTTAAACTAATATTGCATTCCTGGATAAATCAAAATTGCTCATGATATACGACACTTTTTATAAATTATTGAATTAAACATGCTAATATTTTCTTTAGGATTTTTGCATGTACATTCATAAATGAAATTAACATGTAATTTTCATTTATTATCTTCCTTAAGGTTTGGCATGAATGTTATGCTAGCCTCATGAAATGAATTGGAAAGTGTTGCTTCTTATGAGAAACACACTCACCCATCCAAACTCAGAGAATGGACTTAGAGACACAACATCCCACTGCTGTTAAGACTCCTGCCACAGTTATGAGAGATGTAAGGATTGAAGCTACCATGCCTTTCCATTTTCCAAACTAATCTTCTAGCCAACAGGTAAATGGGTCATCAATTCCAGCATTCTCTGCCAGCTCATTGGTTAGAATTGTCAGTCCTTGTAAAGTTTTTGTGATGGTCCCATCTGGGGCAGTATTGTTGGGAATGAAAGTACAGCATTTCCCACTCAGCATAACACATACGTCTCGTTTTTTCTGCTAGTATCATGTCTTAGCGCAAGCCTGTTTTCCCAGGCAACTCTGCTGGTGGCATCTAACTGGCTAACCACCTCTTTGAGGGCATCCCAAGTATAACTGATGTTGAATCTCTGTTGATTATAATAGATGTAGTTAATTCAATTCACACTCCTAATAGTTGACCACCAGAATAGTGCTGACTCTAACCCAGCAGCTATTTGGTTTTGGGTCTTACATTTATTAGGCAACTCCCTAGGGACTCCAATCAAGTCAACATATATATTGGGATCAAAAGAATTTGTCAAATCTCTCTGGTTTTGGTGGCCATGTGTACTTTCGGGTGTCCTGTGGAATGCCAGGGTGAATGGAATGGCCAGTTTTACTAAAGCACCATTCCTGGTGCTTTACTCACAATATCACCAGACATCAGCCTGGGGTATATGGAGAGCTGAGTAATTGCCATTGCTTGACTCACCGGTGATGTTGAGGATGTGGATACAAGTCGACAGTTTTCCCACGGGCTTATTGAACTCTGCCCACTGCCTAGAGAGGCAAGAGGAGTGGTTCATATTCCCTACAGAGAATGAGGGGATTGCTCTGGGATCTGACCTATGCAATGTAGGAAAGAGCAATGACAGAGGCTTATAGGTCTCATTTCCCCATGCATCCTTGTCCTGGTATAGAGCCTACAAGCAATGCATTCCTTTAGGATCAGTATTCCATCCTAGGGGAAACAGAACCACCTGTGCCTGAGGTCCTCCTGCAGCACACCTGTAACGGATACTCTTGTTGAGGGCTTGTACCAAAAATTTTACCCATTTGACCCAGGCATTCACATCCCTGTATCCCATCTCAATTTCTAAGGTTTGCCTTAAATCCTTTACCTTAATTATTTTTACTTGTTTAGGGTCATTATTTGGTAGACTAAAATGTTTATTAGGGTCTGGGTTTGGAGTAATCCCAGGGAAATGGGAGGTTGCGTTCCTGATTAGTTGAGAACAAATCACCCTAGGGGGTCTTTCCCTGTGATGTCTGCCCCTAACCCATATACCCAAGATGCTACTTTTGGTTCTTGGTCTAGAACAGCTGGATTCTCAATGGTGATGAGTACAGGATTGCATTCTAAATTATGGCAGTTATTTGGCAGGGAGCCCTTGGCCCCTTGGACAGATGTAGTTTATTCTTCAAAGGCATCCAGTTTGGAGTTACCTACCCCGTGTTTACCATCCAACCCTGAAATTGGGTAGTATTCCATACCTCATCTCAGCTGGGGCAGGGTGATGCCCTAATGTAACCTGTATCTGCCTGTGAAGGCCATCTCTGATTTTCTAAATTCCCACAAGGTAAGACGTGGCAGGATCAAATCCTACGGTGTGGGATGCTACCATCTTGGTTGCATTAATTACCACCTAATTGGGTAGGGAGGAGTCCTGCCAGTTTCCATTCTGACCTTCTGCTCTTTGCATAGTAGCCCATCCCAGCCATATCAACTTCCAGAAATGGGGCTAGCCCATGTTTTCTTTTAACAATTTTCTCAGAGTAAACTTTAAGGGTTCCTCAGGTGACCCGTGTACTTTCCACTGGTCTTTTTCCCGCCCTTCTGGGGGTCTCTTTTCCCAGTTCCTTGACTCTTGTATAGTGAGTCCACCCCCATTCAGCTGTTCGCAGGTGGTCTCAGTGGTTAGGAGCACTGGATAGGGACCTTCCCAGCTTGGGTGGAGCTTGTCTTCTTTCCAAGTCTTAATCAGCACCAAGTCACTAGGCTGGAAGTGATGAACCACAAATTTAAGAGGCAGACTTTGAGCCAGAAGTCCTTTTAACCTGAGGGATGACAGGGTGGAGGATATGGCCAGTATGTAATTTCTTAAAAATTGATCCTTGGTTTCCATAGTAGGGAGATCTGTAGCCCTGCCCAAATATGGGATCCCATATAATAACTCATAAGGGGACCATCCCAAGTATTTTCCTGGGCCTACCCTAATCCTAAAGAGTGTTATTGGGAGACATTTGGTTCAAATCATTTTAGTTTCTAAAATTAGTTTGGTGATATGCTTTTTGAGAGTTTGATTTTTTCTTTCTACCTTTGCAGAGGAAGGGGGAGGCCAAGGAATGTGATAATCCCATCTAATTTGTAAACCTTCTATAATTTCCCTTAACACCCTTGAGGTAGCTTCCTTTCTAAGCTCATGCAGTTCAAATAAATCACTTCTCTTCTAACAAAGAGCAGGCTGAAAGTTCAGGATGTAAATCACAGATAAACAGCTTAAGCACAGAAAGGGAGTGGGGGAGACCTGGGTTATCACCAAACATCACACTCACACTATTGGGCCCCAGTAAAAACATTGAGCCTTATTAAGCACATTCCTTTCCCTTTAGGCACACTAAAGGAAGCTAAAAGCAACTGTGGGGAGATGCCTGCAGCTGGAAGATGTCTGGGACCAGACACAGTAACTCTCCCTCCCAGATAAGTGACACAAAGGAATAGTGCATGGTGATATGCAGGTTCTAATAGTCCATTTTTAATCAATCCTTCTATTACTGGCTGGAGATCTTTTCTTCCTTCCATAGCAATGGGATATTGTTTCCTGCAAACTACTTCTCCTGGTTGTTTTAGTTCAATTTGTAAGGGTATGATTTTTAACCCTCCCTTGTTGCCTTCCTCAATCCACACAAGGGGATTAATTTCTATTTCCTCCTCCTGTTAGGAGGCCTATCATTACCTTTATTTGTCCTTCTTCTATTCCTCATCTTAAACCCAATCTCGCAATTAGGTTTTTAATCAGGAGATTAGTTCCTGCTTCAGAAACTTAATTAGGAGTGACCCTTCAATTTCTGGTGGTCCCAATTAACATTTTTTTGAACATCAGAACCTCAAATTCCTCCCCTCTTACCACTGATACTGTCAATTTTCCCTTAGAGAGTTCTGTACCCTTTGGTTGGTGAATTAGGGAGGAAGGAGCCACCCCAGTATTAACCAAAATGTCAGTTTTTCTCCCTCAGGTCCTATCTCCAAATTTATCAAGGGTTCCTGGTGGGACCTACTCAGAAGGAACCCCTGACCCCATGCCCCCAGCCCCAGTCTTCATCAACAGTCATGAGGGGGATCACCTTTTCTTTTCTTCCATTCAGGACATTCTTTCTTAAAATGCTCAGGCTTTCCACACATGTAGCATCCACTCATAGCGTTAGGAGCCATTCCCTGCATTTCCTTGCTTTCTCTGTGTTGAAATCTATCATTCTCTTGTCTCCTTCAAGGGGGATCTTGATCTAATCTTTCTCTGACTACCTCTTCCACAGTGGAAACCATGATTTTCACTTTTTGTTTCTGCTTCTCTTCCTCTCTCCTTACAAAGGCCTTCTGAGCTTCCCTCAGTAATTCCTCAATCGGGTTTTCATTCTCTCCATCAATCTTTTGCAGTTTCTATTTTTATCTTCCTGTGTAGCCCCCCAACCCTTCTGCAGCCTCATTGACAGATGCCCCTGGTGGACTTACAGCCTGTCAGTAAAACAACAACAAAACCCTTAATGGTTATCTCATCCATTTACCCTTCCATAACCTGAATCCTTTCTACCGTCTCCTGACAAACAGCTACTTTGCTGTGGGCAACCCACTACTCCTCGAGCAGCCTGATCCTAAACTCTCCTCCACATCCCTTTCTCACTTGCATCCACCGGTCCTGGGCTCTGTCCCTCCTCAGTGGCCGCACTGCAATCTTTCCCTGCACCTCTTTGTTGCCTAAACCTCCAGAATCTTCCCAGAGCCCTGCCAACTTCTCTGCCTCCTCTCACTTTCTCTTGTACTCTTCCTTCCTTTCACATTATTTTTCTCCCCAGTCTCACCTTCTGGGTCTCTCTTTGATCTTTGTCTTTTCCAGTCTCTCTCTCAGTCATTTTTCTTCTTCAATCTCTCTCTGTGGGTCATCCCCTGTTTCCCTTCTCCCTTACACTCAGTTTCTTCCTCTTTCTCTCTCTGGGCACGAGCCAAGCCGTGCTGTGCCCTGGCTCCCTCCTATCTGTCTGCAAAGACAGACAGCTCTGCTGAAAGGCAAAGATTCTGCAGCAGCTTTTAGCAACAGTTTTTAGCAGCCAGCTCTCACACACCTGTGTAGCTGACTGTCCTCTGCCTTCAGGGTCAACAGCTTAACTCTTTCTCTCCCTCTCTGGCCCTCTACATTTGCTGTTTCCTCCACTTTCTCTTTCCGATTTCCTTTCTTACTTTTTCTCTTTTGTCCTTTCTTCTTTGAGGTGGAACAGGGGGGCTAATTACTTGATCCAGCAGAGAACGTAACCTATCTCTTCTTAAGAGGATGGGGTTTTATGATTCACATACAGAATTAAAGCTTGGCACACCCAAACCTCATCTGAGACAAACTTAGGCCAAAAGACCAAAGGTTTACTAATGGGGTCTTTGGGCCAGATGAAATAGCAATACTTTATCATTTTTTGTTTTTCCTTATCCCTGGCTTGGGGGTTATTTCCCCAAGCCTATAACATCCTTCCCAATGAATTATCTGGGGGGATGTTGGAGGGGTCCACCTTGGCTCCATCCTTTCTTTGTTCCCTGGGCCTAGAATATTTTGCTTCCCATTTTCAGCTGGTCCCCATGTCTGCATTTTCCTGTGTACTCAACCCCCCTTACTGGAGGTTTCTTGCACACCTTTCAACTGCTTCATCCATCTCCAGCTGTTTCCCTCGTGAGACAATGGAGCTTAAGATTGGGACTTCGCACTCACTTTATATCTAGGATACGTCTCAGACACACACACTCAACCTCTGAAAATGTCCAACCACCAAGGCAGTACCTACAGTTCAATTTTCCTACCTTGGCTCATGAGTGAGGTTGCCTGGTTGCTGCGGTGCCTGCTTTTCTCCCTGTGTCACCTTCACTGTCTTCTGAATAACAGTCTCAGGTTTATCTATGGCTTCTATGGGGAGCTGGGACACCTGGACAGAGTGGGCCACCTAAATCAGGTGGGATGCCTCTCCGCTCTCGGCTGGAGTCCCACTCCATGCAGGCAGCTCAATAAATCATGTATCATTGGGAAGGACATCCATGGTGTCCATATGTAGGTACTTGTGATGTCCTGAATTCTCAGAGGCCCCTAAGGCCATGCCTCTTGCCCTCTTTGGCTACTAGGCAACCTGCTGGCACCTGCTTACCACTAGTTGAGGTATAAGTTATTCTGCCTGCTCTCTGGTTTTAGCCTTATCTTCCCTGAACCTCTGTAGAAAAACTGGTACAATTCACAGTCTTTTTCCTTGGCTCATGCTGGGCCTCCTTGTCTCTCCATGCCACCCCTTCACGCTTGGCTCCATGTCGGCCTTCATACCCTGAGTTTCAAACATATTAATTCATCCAGCCACTGGCTTACGCTGCCAATCACACAGCTGCTGCTATTTTGAAGAACTCTTTTTTTCTTTTAACAAAACTCAGTTTTCTAGACCGTTGCGTTACTAGAGTCTAAATTTAAGAACATCTTTAGGGGCCAAAGCAATGAATTCTTGGCTTCAGACTCCATCTGTTCATTATAAAAAGTGCTGCAACTCATTGATTCAATCAGCAAGAAAGCATAGGGAATTGTGATTATTAAAGGGAAAGAATAAAAATTTTGTTGTGACCAGAAAATATGACAAAATAGACAAGTTGTTTGACTCTGCTGCAAACAACTAAAAAAAGAAAAACCAGGATAAATTATTTCTAAAAAATCTTTTAGACTGTACCATTGACCTAGAAATAAAATAATACATACTAGAGATCCAAAGAGATAAGCAGAATGCTGAACCTAGCTTTTATCTGGATGGAATTTGGTGTTGCAGGAGAAGGGCTCAGATTCAGACAAGGTAGAAAATCTAATAGGAGACCACCTCCATTCATAAAATAGAAATTACACTAGGCTAAATTTCACTGAAAAAGTAAACCATAAATATTACCTTTCTGGGATGTTGCAAGTAGAACAGACTATCTCAAACATTTTCACTGTGAAATGAGAAGAAATATATTTTCACTGTGAAATAAGAAGAAATAGAGAGAGATCCAAGATGGCTGATCACTAGCAGCTCGGGATTGTAGCTCCCACTGAAAGAGCAGAGAACGAGAGGATGCCACACTTTCAGATCAAT